TCGGGTGTGAGAACTAATGGGAGCATGTGTGGGTGAGTCAGTGGGAGCATGTGTGGATGTGTGTGTCGGTGGGAGCATGTGTGGGTGAGGGAGTCGATGGGAGCATGTGTGGGTGAGTCAGTGGGAGCATGTGTGGGCGAGTCAGTGGGAGCATATGTGGGTAGAGTGTGTGTTAATGGGAGCATGTGTGGGTGAGTCAGTGGGAGCTAGAGTGGGTGAGTATATTAGTGGGAGCATGTGTGTGTGTGTGTGTGTGTGTGTGTGTGTGTGTGTGTGTGTGTGTGTGTGTGTGTGTGTGTGTGTGTGTGTGTGTGTGTGTGTGTGTGTGTGTGAGAGTCAGTGGGAGCATGTGTGGGTGAGTGTCAGTGAGAGCATGTGTGAATGAGAGTCAGTGGGAGCATATGTGTGTGTGAGAGTGAGTCAGCGGGAGCATGTGTGGGTGAGTGTGTCAGTGAGAGCGTGTGTGAATGAGAGTCAGTGGGAGCATATGTGGGCGAGTCAATGGGAGCACAAGTGGGCGGTGTCAGTGGGAGCATGTGTGGGTGAGTGTGTTAGTGGGAACATGTGTGGGTGAGTGGGAACATGTGTGGGTGAGTGGGAGCATGTGTGGATGAGTGGGAGCATGTGTGGATGAGTGGGAACATGTGTGGATGAGTGGGAGCATGTGTGGATGAGTGGGAGCATGTGTGGGCGAGTCGATGGGAGCATGTGTGGGCGAGTCGATGGGCACATGTGTGGGTGAGTCGATGGGCGCATGTGTGGGCGAGAGTGTGTCAATGGGAACATGTGTGGGAGAGTGTTAGTGGGACCATGTGTGGGTGAGAGTCAGTGGGAGCATGTGTGGGTGAGAGTTAGTAGGAGCATGTGTGGGTGTGAGAGACAGTGGGAGCATGTGTGGGTGTGAGAGACAGTGGGAGCATGTGTGGGTGAGAATGTCATTGGGAGCATGTGTGGGTGAGTGTGTCAGTGGAAGCATGTGTGGGTGAGTGTGTCAGAGGGAGCATGTGTGGGTGTGTCAGAGGGAGCATGTATGGGTGAGTGTGTCAGAGGGAGCATGTGTGGGTGAGTGTGTCAGAGGGAGCATGTGTGGGTGAGTGTGTCAGAGGGAGCCTGTGTGGGTGAGTGTGTCAGAGGGAGCATGTGTGGGTGAGTGTGTCAGAGGGAGCATGTGTGGGTGAGTGTGTCAGAGGGAGCATGTGTGGGTGAGTGTGTCAGAGGGAGCATGTGTGGGTGAGTGTGTCAGAGGGAGCATGTGTGGGTGAGTGTGTCAGAGGGAGCATGTGTGGGTGAGTGTCAGAGGGAGCATGTGTGGGTGAGAGTGTCAGTGGGAGCATGTGTGGGTGTCAGTGGGAGCATGTGTGGGTGAGAGTGTCAGTGGGAGCATGTGTGGGTGAGAGTGTCAGTGGGAGCATGTGTGGGTGAGTGTCAGTGGGAGCATGTGTGGATGAGTGTGTCGGTGGGAACATGTGTGGGCGAGTGGGAGCATGTGTGGATGAGTGGGAGCATGTGTGGATGAGTGGGAGCATGTGTGGATGAGTGGGAGCATGTGTGGATGAGTGGGAGCATGTGTGGATGAGTGGGAGCATGTGTGGATGAGTGGGAGCATGTGTGGATGAGTGGGTGCATGTGTGGATGAGTGGGAGCATGTGTGGATGAGTGGGAGCATGTGTGGATGAGTGGGAGCATGTGTGGATGAGTGGGAGCATGTGTGGATGAGTGGGAGCATGTGTGGATGAGTCGATGGGAGCATGTGTGGATGAGTCGATGGGAGCATGTGTGGATGAGTCGATGGAAGCATGTGTGGGTGAGTCGATGGGAGCATGTGTAGGCGAGTCGATGTGAGCATGAGTGGGCGAGTGTGTGTCAGTGGGGACATGTATGGGCGAGTGTTAGTGTGACCATGTGTGGGTGAGAAAGTCAGTGGGAGCATGTGTGGGTGAGAGTGAGTGAGAGTGGGAGCATGTGTGGGTGAGTGAGTGAGAGTGGGAGCATGTGTGGGTGAGAGTGAGAGTGGGAGCATGTGTGGGTGTGAGAGAGTGGGAGCATGTGTGGGTGAGAGAGTGGGAGCATGTGTGGGTGAGAGAGTGAGAGTGGGAGCATGTGTGGGTGTGAGAGAGTGAGAGTGGGAGCATGCGTGGGTGTGAGAGAGTGGGAGCATGCGTGGGTGTGAGAGAGTGGGAGCATGTGTGGGTGTGAGAGAATGTGAGTGGGAGCATGTGTAGGTGAGAGTCAGTGGGAACATGTGTGGGTGAGTGTTAGTGGGAGCATTTGTGGGTGTGAGTGTTAATGGGAGCATGTGTGGGTGAGAAAGTTAGTGTGAGCATGTGTGGTTGAGAGTGAGTGGGAGCATATGTGGGTGAGAGTGAGTCAGTGGGAGCATGTGTGGGTGAGAGTGAGTCAGTGGGAGCATGTGTGGGTGAGAGTGAGTCAGTGGGGGCATGTGTGGGTGAGTGTGTCAGTGGGAGCATGCGTGGGTGAGTGTGTCAGTGGGAGCATGCGTGGGTGAGTGTGTCAGTGGGAGCATGCGTGGGTGAGTGTGTCAGTGGGAGCATGTGTGGGTAAGAGTCAGTGGGAGCATGTGTGGGTGAGAGTCAGTGGGAGCATGTGTAGGTAAGAGTCAGTGGAAGCATGTGTGGGTAAGAGTCAGTGGAAGCATGTGTGGGAGTCAGTGGGAGCATGTGTGGGTGTGGGAGTCAGTGAGAGCATGTGTGGGTGTGGGAGTCAGTGAGAGCATGTGTGGGTGTGGGAGACAGTGGGAGCATGTGTGGGTGTGGGAGTCAGTGGGAGCATGTGTGGGTGTGGGAGTCAGTGGGAGCATGTGTGGGTGTGGGAGTCAGTGGGAGCATGTGTGGGTGTGGGAGTCAGTGGGAGCATGTGTGGGTGTGGGAGTCAGTGGGAGCATGTGTGGGTGTGGGAGTCAGTGGGAGCATGTGTGGGTGTGGGAGTCAGTGGGAGCATGTGTGGGTGTGGGAGTCAGTGGGAGCATGTGTGGGTGTGGGAGTCAGTGGGAGCATGTGTGGGTGTGGGAGTCAGTGGGAGCATGTGTGGGTGTGGGAGTCAGTGGGAGCATGTGTGGGTGTGGGAGTCAGTGGGAGCATGTGTGGGTGTGGGAGTCAGTGGGAGCATGTGTGGGTGTGGGAGTCAGTGGGAGCATGTGTGGGTGTGGGAGTCAGTGGGAGCATGTGCGGGTGAGAGTCAGTGGGAGCATGTGCGGGTGAGAGTCAGTGGGAGCATGTGCGAGTGAGTCAGTGGGAGCATGTGTGAGAGTCAGTGGGAGCATGTGCAAGTGGGTGAGTCAGTGGGAGCATGTGTGGGTGAGTGTGTCAGTGGCAGCATATATGAGTGAGAGTGTCAGTGGGAGCATGTGTGGGTGAGTGTGTCAGTGGGAGCATGTGTGGGTGAGTGTGTCAGTGGGAGCATGTGTAGGTGAGAGTGTCATTGGGAGCATGTGTGGGCGAGTGTCATTGGGAGCATGTGTGGGCGAGTGTCAGTGGGAGCATGTGTGGATGAGTGTCAGTGGGAGCATGTGTGGGTGAGTGTCAGTGGGAGCATGTGTGGGTGAGAGTGTCAGTGGGAGCATGTGTGGGTGAGAGTGTCAGTGGGAGCATGTGTGGGTGAGAGTGTCAGTGGGAGCATGTGTGGGTGAGAGTGTCAGTGGGAGCATGTGTGGGTGAGTGTGTCAGTGGGAGCATGTGTGGGTGAGTGTGTCAGTGGGAGCATGTGTGGAGGAGAGAGAGAGAGAGAGGAGAGGATGGAAACAGAGGTTGAAAGAAAGAGGGGGGGGGGGGAAGAAAGCAAGAATGAAAGGATGGGAATGAAAAAGCATGAGTGAGAATGCAATAAAGAAAGTGGGGGAAGAGAGAGGGGTAAAGAGAGCATATGAGATATATGATTAATAATGGCCACAATACTATCATTAATACCATCATTTACCACACAAAAACAATACACCACATTACATCATATATTCACAACTAGCTTGATGTACCAAAAGGTATAACAAGAAAAGCCTGCTAAAAGTATGAGACTAACAAGACTCGACTTTTAAGAACACTGGAATAATCCTACGACACAATCATTTTCATACAAAGATAAACCTTCATTAATTTATAAACTGGTTCATACAAATTTTTTTTTTACAATTTGTTATTATTGTGATAAAAAATTAACAAATAAAACTGACTAGTCACGAGAGAAACTATTGAAGGGGCAATGGGAGTTATGACAATTAAAAGACTCGGCCTGAGGGGAATACGAGGGACATGAGGGAATACGAGGGTAGACAATAAACCATAACTAATGTTTCACCTCCAGCTTTATGCCTGACACTCATTAACTAAACAAGTGAAACATCGGTGATAGTTAATTGTATAGTATATAACATTATGGTTATGGATGACATGAATAAACTGCATCTTAAAAAAAAATTAATAAAATAAGAGAAAAAATATAATGATAACTAAAAGGAGACTCTTTAAATGCTAAATGGTGAATAATGACAACACTACATATTGTAATACATTCAACAACATTCACATCCTCTATACCACCAGCAATATGTTAAAATGTATAAAACGTACATAAAAGTGTTTACTGGTGCCAGTTTGAGAATAAGTTTGACTAGTACTAAATTACGAACACTAAAATCCTTCACATTTTAAGATGTGTAAATTAATATAAACATGGATTATCTGTCTGATAAAAAAAAAACAGGTTGAAATATAGAAATTCCTTTTATTTCAAATTTAAAATAATGTTGAAAATTTAGAGTCAAATTTGTTAGCCAACATACATTCTTTAAAATATGTATATACAGTATGCACCTTCTATTTAAACAACATATAATTTTCACTTAGCATACAGTACATAAAAGATAAAGCATAATCACAGTTCATATTTTATTACCACACAGTAGTGTTATCATCACACAATAGTTTAATATTATAAAATTTGTTATCACCCAATTCTCATTACTTCAAGTGCATGCAGCACCTTATTTGTACCATCAAATAATTAGGCAATGTAAATTACCATACCCTGCTAGTCATTAACATAAATAGCTTTGTTGATATCTTGCACAGTGCTCATGTTGTAGAAAGACTGTCGAGTAGCATCGCTTTCTGGGATAGTGTTGCCTGTTAAAAAATATAACCGGTTTTATGAGGCATTCTTTATATGGAAAAAAATACAGTATATTGATTGGTATTCGGCACTCAAAAGCCAATGATATTGAAGCTCTGTACAGTACAGTACAGATCTGTTTCCATGTAAGGCGATAAAACTGTTGTCTGTATAGGTAGATTGCACAAATAATGTGGTTGGAAGCTAAAGCAGGAGGCAATTGTTCATACAAGGTATAACCAAATGTTAAAAGCATACTTCCTATTAAGTACAATTGTAAAGGATTCTCTAGATATTAAGTAAAGGAAGTAAGAAGAAAATGGCAGCAAGAGAAGAACAAAAGGTACTGTACTGTATGCGTAAAGGTCAGTAAAGCAGAAAATGAACCTAATGAGGATACGAGAAGAATCAATTAGTTGCTCTTTAAGGCAAGTACCTGCTGATTCATATAACGAAAGTTGTGTAGTCAGGCAATACGACATCCTAGTATGACATCCCCAACACTACTACAGGGAAATTTTTAAAATCTCAGCAGGGTTATTAAAAGTGCATGGGAAGTACTGGAAAAATGTTCAGGTTAATCCACAATGTCCAACAGTACAGTACACTTGTAAAGACTGAAATCAAAGATGATTTCTCATTTCTTTCCAGACATTCTACCCATTTGGTTTTAATTATTTTTACTAGAGATTTGACTAACACGCTTGTCAGCAATACAGGTCTATAATTTAGAGGGTCTGATCTTGTTACAATCCTGGGTTCCTCAATTGGAAACCAGAGGTCAAATTGAGCTAAAATAAACTACATTTTAGTAGTGGGACGCATGGCGAGGTGCAGGTGTTTGTATCTTCCCTGCCAGACGTAAGACGATTCTTGTTTCTCAAAGAGAATTTAAAGACTGAGCTTGGGGTTGATTATTAAGTAATAAAATAGGCATCAACTATGTTTACAAATGATTAGAAAGTATTAAAGTAGATCTGAGTAAACTTGGATATAGGGCTGCTGTACGATTAGTTGGTTAATCTGCCGGTAGCGGAGGGAGGAGACTGGAGACGGTCTGCCCTCCCTCTGGCTGGCGTTCGTGGTGTCGAGATCTCCTCTGAGCTGCTCTGCAACCCTCTACCTTTTCTCCTCCTCCTTCCTTCCCTTACCTTGAATACCTGTAACACTAAGTTAAGTACGGTGTTGTTAAGTATGCCTACTCTGGAAGTGAAGATTTGTGTAGACCTGGGGTAGTATTTGCCAGTGTTTTGGGTATCCCTAAGAGTTGTGCTGTGTTAGGGTACCACATGGTCTCACTACCCTAAGCTGACTCAAGCTTCAAGTTCTTCACTAGTAGTACTTTACCCTAGCTTGTTCTCAGTGTAAACCACACAAATGACCCTAATATAAGGGGGGGGGGGGACACAAGGCAGACCCCCCTACCAGGCCAAAACAAATATAAAAGAAAAACCACACAAGTGGACAACGTACCCAGAGGGAACAGAGTCGGCCACTGTTATAGGTGAAAACTAGCTACGCAGTACCCTGCACCCCACCAGTGCTATAACTACCAAACAAGGGAGGAAAACCCCCAAACACTGGCGCGGCCAAACGCCAAGCAGCGAAAAGCCAACAGAGGTAATTACCTAAGTGTAATTACCTAAGTGTAGTTACAGGATGAGAGCTACGCTCGTGGTGTCCCGTCTTCCCAGCACTCTTTGTCATATAACGCTTTGAAACTACTGACGGTCTTGGCCTCCACCACCTTCTCACTTAACTTGTTCCAACCGTCTACCACTCTATTTGCGAAGGTGAATTTTCTTATATTTCTTCGGCATCTGTGTTTAGCTAGTTTAAATCTATGACCTCTTGTTCTTGAAATTCCAGGTCTCAGGAAGTCTTCCCTGTCGATTTTATCAATTCCTGTTACTATTTTGTATGTAGTGATCATATCACCTCTTTTTCTTCTGTCTTCTAGTTTTGGCATATTTAATGCTTCTAACCTCTCCTCGTAGCTCTTGCCCTTCAGTTCTGGGAGCCATTTAGTAGCATGTCTTTGCACCTTTTCCAGTTTGTTGATGTGCTTCTTAAGATATGGGCACCACACAACAGCTGCATATTCTAGCTTTGGCCTAACAAAAGTCATGAACAATTTCTTTAGTATATCGCCATCCATGTATTTAAATGCAATTCTGAAGTTAGAAAGCATAGCATAGGCTCCTTGCACAATATTCTTTATGTGGTCCTCAGGTGATAGTTTTCTATCTAGAACCACTCCTAGATCTCTTTCTTTATCAGAATTCTTTAAAGATTTCTCACATAATATATAGGTTGTGTGGGGTCTATGTTCTCCTATTCCACATTCCATAACATGACATTTATTAACATTAAATTCCATTTGCCAAGTGGTGCTCCATATACTTATTTTGTCCAGGTCTTTTTGAAGGGCATGACAGTCATCTAAATTTCTTATCCTTCCTATTATCTTAGCATCATCAGCAAACATGTTCATATAATTCTGTATACCAACTGGTAGATCATTTATGTACACAATAAACATCACTGGTGCAAGAACTGAACCCTGTGGTACTCCACTTGTGACATTTCTCCATTCCGATACATTGCCTCTGATTACTGCCCTCATTTTTCTATCAGTCAGAAAATTTATCATCCATGTTAGAAGCTTACCTGTCACCCCTCCAATATTTTCCAGTTTCCAGAACAACCTCTTATGTGGAACTCTGTCGAAAGCCTTTTTTAGGTCCAGATAGATGCAGTCAACCCAACCATCTCTTTCCTGTAATATCTCTGTGGCTCGATCATAGAAACTGAGTAAATTCGATACACAGGATCTTCCAGATCGAAAACCATACTGTCTGTCTGATATTATATCATTTCTCTCTAGGTGTTCTACCCATTTAGTTTTGATTAGTTTTTCCAATACTTTCACTATTACACTTGTCAATGATACAGGTCTATAATTGAGGGGGTCTTCCCTGCTGCCACTTTTGTAGATTGGAACTATGTTAGCCTGTTTCCACCCGTCTGCTACGATTCCTGTACACAGGGATGCCTGAAAGATCAGGTGAAGTGGAATGCTGAGCTCAGATGCACATTCTCTCAGAACCCATGGTGAAACGCCATCTGGGCCAGCTGCTTTGTTCTTACCGAGCTCCTTGAGCATTTTTTCCACTTCGTCTCTAGACACCTCTATGTGTTCTATGTTGTTCTCTGGAATTCTTATTGTATCTGGTTCCCTAAAGATTTCATTTTGTACAAACACACTTTGGAACTTTTCGTTTAGTGTTTCACACATTTCCTTTTCATCTTCCGTGAATCTATTTCCCATTTTCAACCTCTGAATATTATCCTTTACCTGCAATTTGTTGTTTATGAATTTATAGAATAGACCTGGTTCTGTTTTACATTTGTCCGCAATCCCTTTTTCAAAATTTCTTTCTGCCTCTCTCCTCACTGCCGTGTAGTTGTTTCTCGCATCTTTGTATCGCTGGTATGTTTGGGGGTTCGGCCTCTTCCTGTATTGATTCCATTTTTGTGTCTTTCGGTCTCTAGCCCTCTCGCAATTTCTATTGAACCAATCCTGTTTCCTAGTTCTGCATCTCTGTTTTGGTATAAATTTTTTTGTGCCTTTATCATATATTTCACAAAACTTGCCATACATCTCATTCACTTCCTTGCCTAGCATCAAGTCTGTCCAATTATACTCACTAAAAAAATTTCTAAGGTCACCATAATGTCCTCTCCTGAAGTCTGGTTTTTCAACTGCTTCAACCTCCTTATTTTCTTCCAGCTTATAACGCATTGCATACTTTATTCCCAAAAAGACATGGTCACTTTTACCCAAGGGAGGAAGGTACTGAATGTCAAATATCTCTTCCTCCTTCCTGGTAAATATCAAATCTAGCATGGAGGGAACGTCCCCTTCCCTCATCCTCGTAGCTTGTTTAACATGTTGATACAAGAATGTTTCCAGGATGAGGTCTACAAATTTACAGGTCCAAAAATCTTCTGTTTTAGCTTCATATGCTTCCCAGTCTATGGATTTCAAGTTGAAGTCACCGACTATCAACAGTCGTGATCTATCGTTATCCGCTCTCGCTATAATCTCTCTCATTATTGTTATAAGACCTTCACGTTTACTATCTAGCTCCTCCTTTGACCATGTGCTGCTTGGTGGTGGACTATATGCATTTATCATCATTAGTTTATCATCCTCATAGCAGATCTCTAGTGCTATTATGTCAACTTCTTGTGGATTGGCAGTCATTATTTCCTTCACCTTTAGGTGTTCTTTTACCAGCACAGCAACGCCACCGCCTTTCCTAATTTTTCTGTCCCGTCTCCAAATTGAGTAGCCCCTCGGGAATATGACCTCATTTAAAATTACATCTTCAAGTTTTGTCTCCGTGAGTGCAACAATGTCTGGTGTCTGCAGCTGTATTACATCACTTAACTCCAGTATCTTCGATCTCACTCCATCTATGTTGGTGTATGCAATCTTCAGGAACTTGTTCCCCCTCTCCTTATTCTTCACTCCCCCTCTCTCTATTGATTTTGTTGGTTTGCCTTTATGTACCACTTTACTGGTTTGCCTACCCCTATCACTTTGTAGAAAAAAGAATTTATTTCTTCTTCATTCCTGCTCTCATTTAAATGTTTTGCCTCGGCGAGGTTCAGTTTCAGCTTCTCTCTATCTTCTTTTGAAAGATCTCGTCTTAATGACCACCCTTTCCCATCCTCATCCCTTTGCAATTTTCTAGCATTCCTTAGTACTTCTTCCATCTGTTTGGCACCGTTTAGGGTGATCCTCAAAGGTCGATCTTTCCCTTTTACGTACCTGCCTATTCTCCTGTAGTCGCACACATTCTCTCTGTTTGTAAGACCTTCCACGAGGCCAACAATTTTATCTACTACTTTAGCTTCTTCTACAGCTCTTTCTGACCTAGATGTTATCGCCTTTTCTTTGCAGCCAAAAATGATCAGGGACTTACTCCGATCAACTGTGTTTTGCACCAACTTCGGGTTAGATGCCAATTCTTTCCTCACTTCTAGCCTAATGTTTGTTTTATCTTGGTTGCTGCAGTGTTTGACTTCCTTTACTGCTTCTTCTATTTTTTCCTTCTCCTTGGCCACTTGTGCATAAGTGAGTTGCATATCTTTCTTGCACTGTTCTATTCCCTGTGTAACTTCCTCCATCTGTGCTGACAAAAGCTGTTTCTCCTGTTGAATTTCCTTGCCTAACCTATTGTAGTCATTTATGTTTAAATTTACTTTAACTTCTTCCAAAGCTATTTTTAAGAGTTTATTTTCTTCTTCCATGGCTTTGCAATTTGTTTCCAATTGATTCTTATCCTTGCGCAAGTCTTTCACTAAACCCTCAAGACATAAAACTTTGCTATTCAAATGGTCATTACTTTCTTTCAATTTACTAATTATTTCTACATGAGAGTTCACTATAGTACCTAAATTTACCAACTTGTTATGTAGACTACTAATATCAATGCTTTCTTCATTGAATCCCTCAAAATCAAGCTCTGTTTTGTTTTTCCCCTTGCCAGTGGCCATCTTGAATGTTCTTCTCTGCACTGTAAACACTAGGGCAACTTTTTCTCATCTGATTTTTCACTTAACTTAGCACTTTCCTGTTGTCTCACCTATTTTTCAAGAGCACTATACCTTTATGTTCTCTGGGACACCACTCACTACCATCAACCTGTACTACAATACTTAGGATTGTTGAAATATGCTGGAGCTCCTCTGCTGCAAGTGTTGACCTTCAACTTTGTGTGACGTCATGCTTGCTTGTTCGTTTTTCTTGGGGAGTTCTGTCCACTCGTTTGTCGATTTTCGTTGTTAACCAGAATAGGGGTTTGTTTTGTGGCGCTTACCTTTCTGGGTGCCTGTCCCAGTCGATGGCAGATATAGAATGCTCCAAATCACATGTGCATTTCTATGGGCCATTGCTCCCCGTGCCTCTGTGAGGAGGCCAGGTTCTGGCTCGTGGTCCCCGGTAGGCCTAGAACTCCACCCACATCGACTGATGCAAAATAGTTAGGGTATCCATATCAACCATGGATAGCTCCGGGGAGCCGTAGAGGCTTCCCCCAGAAATCACCACAAACGCGGAATTTCATATAGGCGCGATCGTCACTAAGCGGGCAGCTGTAGTAAACTGAGGCAGGTCAGACCACGTGACCGGGAACCATGCGCCCGGTCGACCCGAATGTGTACCAACAAATATCGGAAGTTGACGACACCATCGGATGTCGAGTCACATTTTTCGATCAAATTTACATGGTAACTCAAAATTATCGTAAGTAGGGGCAATTGTAAATCGAGGTGCCACTGTATTTATTATAGATTGGAACAATGTTTGCCTTTTTCCATATATCTGCTAGGATTCCTGTATGTAAAAATGCCTGAAAAATAAATTTTAATGGAATGCTCAGCTCAGGTGTGCATTTCTTCAGAACCCACGGTGAGATTCCATCTGGGCCAACTGCTATGTTTCTTCCTGGCTACTTCAGCAATTTTTCCACTTCATCTTGAGACACTTCTATGTATTGTGCTGTTCTTTGAAATTGGCATTGTGTCCGTTTCTCTGAAATCCTCATTTTCCACATACTGTACTGTACTTTTGGGACTGTTCATTTAGTGTTTCACAGATTTACTTTTCGTTCTCTGTAAATTTGTTCCCCATTCTCAACCTCTGGACTTTATCCTTTACAATGCAATTTGCAATTAGTGGATTTAAAGAATAGGCCTGGTTTTGTTTTACATTTGTCCATCATCCTTTTCTCAAAGTTTTGTTCTTCCTCTCTCCTCACTGGAAATTGTTCCATGTTTGTATTTCTGGTATGGTTGAGGGTTAAGTCTCTTCCTATAATGGACCCATTTTTTTTTTAGCTTTTTTCTCTGGCCATCTCACAGTTTCTGTTGAACCAATCATGTTTTTTTTAGTTCTGCATCTTTGTATGCAGTAATTCTTTGGTGCCTTCATAACTCACAAAACTTGGCATGCATCTCATTTACTTCACTGTAACAAATCTTGCCAATCAAATTCATTAAAGAACTTGCCCAGTTCCCCATAGTATCCTCTTCTGAAATCAAGGTTTCCACTAATTGCTTTTCTTGATTCTCTTTTTAGATTACAATGCATAGCCATATTCAGCATAGCCATCACAGCCAGGCTGATCTAGATCATTTTTTTTTTTTAACCAAACGATGGAGGAAATGGATATGTTTAAAACACCGATGTACCCAGATCAGTGACTACCCAGATACCAACAATTTTACCCAAACGGAATTTGTGTATTTTAGTGGATAACTTTGTTTACAAAAGAATCTACACAACAGCTTGACATATCAGCCGGGGAGCCGGTGGCTGAGCGGACAGAACACACTACGCGTGATCCTGTGGTTCCGGCTTCGATCCCGGGTGCCGGCGAGAAACAATGGGCAGAGTTTCTTTCACCCTGATGCCCCCCGTTACCTAGCAGTAAATAGGTACCTGGGAGTTAGTCAGCTGTCACGGGCTGCTTCCTGGGGGTGGAGGCCTGGTCGAGGACCGGGCCGCGGGGACACTAAAGCCCCAAAATCATCGAGATAACTTCAAGAGATCAAAATACATTACCTGCAATTATAATTTGACATTGTTTATAAAGAAAAATACCAAGGCTTCCAAGGACAAATTAATTAGCATATATCCTACCAACAAGAACAGCAGTGTGGCGATGACCATATCCAAAACAGCAGTGGATGACACGCACACACATTATGAACTCTGAAGTAGGCGACTCGGGACTTAATGAAGCAAAACAGTTTCCTCCATCAATAATTTGAGCAGCACCAGCTGCCACACATCTGTTAAATGCAACAAAGATTAAGCAATGTTTTTAAAGAATATATAGGCAATTATTAGTGAAAAGTATACAATACATTCAAAATTCTGCTATAATATTTTTAACTATACAGCTGCTTAACACTTTCCTGGATTTTCGACTTGGACTTACGGGCGGTTTCCCTAGCCGCTTGTCGGATCACGACGTAAATTTACGGACAGTGTTATATTGGGTATTTACTACTCGATCGACTTGGGGTTTGTATGAATATGTTTGCCATTAAATTTTTGTTTTCTCTAATAGGCACTGTGCCTATTTGAGAAAACGACAATGTATTGTAACTTAGAGGAGAGACTATTGAATTGGTGTCACAACGAGGGTAATCGCGCACTCCACACACTCTTGTGTTGGCCGCGATCATGATTCTACATTTATATGCATATGTCTGTGTAGAGAATTTTATTCCGAACACTATACAAACAAAAAAAACGGAGTGAATCAAGTATAAACTTGAAAAAACATCAGCAAAGTAAAAACTTTTTACGCTCACGGGTACAAACACGCGTAAGATTCGCATAAGATTTTATTCGCCGCAAATTTATTTGACGCTCTGTTGGCCAATTCTACCCATGTTCTTATAGAACTTTCTATTGCGAACACATTGCTATAAAAATGAAATACGTAGCTCGAGAAATAATGTCATGACAGTGAAATAAGTATAAACTTTCAAAGCGCTGCATCACAACAGTGTCGTCGCTGCTGAAATCACGGCTAACGCTTCGCCCAGTTCCCACACTCGTGCGGAACATAATTAGACATTGATAGGCATATGTCTGGGTGGGGAATTTTATTGCGAGTTCAGTGATATCAAAATAAGCGCTGTAGGATGACTGTGAGGCTGGCAACAAACGAAAGAGTATGAACATTTACTTCCTGTTTGGGTGTCACGGCGAGTCATCTTCGTGTTTATTTACTTCGTGGTGGGATAGCAAATGCTTGGGTGACATTTTATGCGTATGATCTTGTAGAGAAGTTTATTGCCAACGCATTGATACCAAAATGAAAAACGTAGCTCGAGAATTGATGTTAGGAGCGTGAAAAGATGATAAACTTTTTTGTGTTCACGCTTGAGCGCCCAGAATGCCGCGCGCACAACCCGCTTTTTTTTTCAGGGAGTGCCGCGCGCACTAAAGTGTTAATTTATACACCTCATTTATTGATCAATATATTATTTGTTGTCTGTGGTATGAGAGCAAATGCACTGGGGAACTATTGAGGGCCAACCTATTAACCCTTAGACAATGGCTATGGAGAATTGGTCATACCCGCCTATGCACAAAAAAATACAAAAATTCCAACAAATAGTTTTTCATTATAGAATTATTCATTTGTATGCAGAATGTAAGGAAAACATGGAAATAAGTGAATATTTGTTTCACTGGGTGGAGGTGCTCTGTAAGGGTGCCTCTGGCACTTACCAACACCTGGTGTTTGACTTTGCTGACACTTCCTTTTTTATCTTCCGATGTTTCATTGTTTTATCACTTGTTTTTCTTTATTCACATCCACAGTGCACTTTTATATCCATAATTGCATCATACATGTAAAACCCAGACAATAATTTGTTAAATCTTCATATGATGATAACTGTATTACCCTGTGAATCAACAAATGATGACAACCGCTGTCCAAAAATTAAAAAAAAATATTTACGCACGTTTTTAGGCACTTTTTGTGTTTGTTTTAATTACTTAAAGTATTTTGCTTTAATCTACAGCCAATAGTATTTGATATTGCATATTTAAAAATAGTTCCTCCTTATAATCGTTTCAATTACTATATCAGTTTGGATGTAGTGATTATGTCGCATCTTTTTTGTCCACTATTTTTGCCACAACTGAAAGAAACTGAAAATTGCCACAACTAAAGGAAAACACATGTTGAATGTAATAAAATGCCCCTTTCTGGTGGGTTCTTGGTGTCTCCTTTGTGCTTGCTACTTGGCAAGATCCACCCAAGTCAATCAACACCACATCCTAGTGAGTCATTACAAGTCTACAGAGGACTAAGGGACAGAACCTGGCCCCCTTCTAGAGGCTTAAAGCAGGAGATCATAATTTCTCAGCTCAAGAAAAAGCCACTTGAAAGAAAGGGAAGAGGTAGAGGTGAGTCAATGTGAATGACACTGAGTTAATATACCAGAGAAAATAAGACAGCAAAGCCCCGAGATATGGTTATGCAACCATACAAGACTTGTGTAACCCTATATGGGCAATTCTATCCCAAGCATGTAGACCCCACCTTCAAAAGGACATACCTGGTTTGGAAAAAGTTCAATGCAGAGTGACAAAAATTCCAGAACTAACTCAACAGTCATGCGATGAATGTTTTAAGGCATTGGGACTAAAACTACAAACCAGGCATGACAGAGCTGATCATATCAAGACCTTTAAAATGCTGAACAAATTACAAGATATTAATACAGATATTAACTCGTACAAGTGCCAACAGCTTCAAGGTCAACAAGCCACAATGTAGAATATAGGAGATGCTTTTTCACCCATATGGTAATAAATGCATGGGATCACTTATCCACTGAAACTATAGATGTCAAGACAGTACTCCAGTTCAAAGTACTGTGGAATACTTCATCTGAGAAAAAATCTTTAGGAATACAGTAATTATACAACTATACAAGATTGATATAACCCTATGTACCTTTGACAAACCACTGGCTTCTTGTGCCCATTGAGGCCACTTGAGTGTGGCCCTGAGGTAAATTAAGGTAAATTTGCACATTGAAGGTTCTCTGTGACAAGAGAAGTATGGATATGTCAGACAAGGATAAGAGAAACTACTTTTCCTTGGATAATAAGACCAAGTGATTAGAAAAACCTGATCGTGACTGGGGAGAAATGCAGGTAGCAGAGTAGTATAACACCAGTACTAGTGCTTTTTTGGACAAATGCCAAGGAAACATCACAATGTGAATAAAATGAACAGTTGTGGAAATGTAAGTGACAAATATTGAAACCTTCAAAGTATAATGATTTAGATTATACTATTTCCCAATAATTTATGCAGCACTGTAGCCTGTTTGTGGAGAACAGTTAAGAGTTTGTAGGCAAGAGTTAAGAAGTCAAGAAACTTTTCATACAGTTAAGAGTTTGTAGGTATTGACCATGGGCACCGAGGACTTCAAGGCACGTTCCACAGTCACTGCACAAGTTTAATAGACCACATGGCATAGTATTTTAACTGCATTTTGTTACCTGTTACCAAGACCAGCCAGGACTACTAGAAGATAAGTGAGCAAATATATTTTCATATATTTTTCATACCTTATTACCTGGCACACAATCTTTCTGTATATAATATTTGTGTCTAGATAACATGTACTCTAACACTTGCCACAAGAAAAGGGCAAATTAAAAAAATCTGATGACCAAACCACAACTCAGAAGATGGAGATGTTTGGTCATCATTTTCTTCAGCCACGTCACTGACTCCTCATCTGCTTAAAAAACCAGCGTTGAATATAATGAAACCCCATTTTCTGTGTGAAACTCCAGAGGCTCTCTGAAGCTATGGGGCTCCCCCAGAAAACCTGGATTTGACAAAATTCTGGATCATGTCCGGTACACTATGATCGGGATTTTGAGGCACCACTACACAAATTGCAACAAAATAGGATGAGAACTAATTGCATGAACAAAACTTACTTATTGAGTGCAATGATATTCCTCCGAAGAATATTACCCAACTCTTGCTCCCTGTTTGATCTTCTTTGAATGGTCGATAGTCTTGAAGAAAAAATGCATCCATTAAATTTGTATTTAAACACACTATATTGCTGTTAAATATAAATTTTAAAAGTGCATGGAAAATAAGTAAAAATTAAAAAAAAATCTTTAAATCTCTGATAACTAATAAAATAGCAGTGCTGTACAATATTAATGAATTTATATAAGAGTACATTAGAGAGATTCTCTGTTTTCAGCCACATGTCTCCATTAACCACAACTTAATGTAATGCAAGTATTTCATTCATTCATACATACATTAATTATTACCCCATTTTACACTTTCACTTGGTGGGAAGGCATTATCTCCCCAAAAATTTAAATTAAAATCATCATGAAAGAAGGACTATTATATTGTATATATATAAATAAATAATGTGATAAACATTAAAACACATGCATAATGCATCCAGTTATCATTTGCACAATACAATATAATTGATAAAACCAGCAATACCCAACCTCTTCAAAAAGCCATGCGTTTTAGTGTTCTTCGTGAACTTAAATACTATATAGTGCGACTTTGCTCGAACAAACTGAAGTGGAACACAAAGCTCGGAGGACCAGAAAATATTAAGACAACTGACAAATTGTTGGTGCGTTGGAATATGGTGTCTGTTTCACCAAGCCTTAATAGACTACAAAGTTCCTGAGATTACAACTGAATATTGGCCGTTATCTTCTTAAATAATGATGTTAAGAGTTATTAAAAGGACATCAAAATCTTGACCCCAGAGTAATAATTTGGGAAGTAAAATCCAATAGGCTTTTTTTTTTTTTTTAAATCATAGAGCTGGTTTTCATGTTGGAACTGGTGATTTTTGACAATTTTCATTCAGATGTGGTTGGAATTTGGCTTGGTGAAAATACCAGAAATGTTATTCTGAAAATTGCCAAGTTAACTCTTGGAGGATTGGAATGCTTGGTAAAACCTAATTGATCTCATTCCTATTAGTCTGTTCAAGCAAGGTGCAACTCTATACCTTCTATTTCAGAAGTATAGATCTCTATATCTCACCAGGTATATGACATTAGTGTTGAGTGGCCACTTGTCTTGGCAGTGGTTGCTCATGCTTTCCCTCATTTCCCACTCATGTTTCCTAGCTATTTGGGAGGCTCTCATCCTAGTCCTTTCGTCTGAAGGACCTTTGAAGTGGTGTTCCACTATGCATCAGGGAGATTGTTTATTTTGAATCTGTCCGTTAGATCAAGATGGTCACTAACGAGTCTAGAGTATGACTGCTGGGTGTAGTTTCCCAGAGAGATGTGTGGTGTGCTTTTTCACACAAATGGTTACCACTGTTTCCTCCATTACTCAGCTTGAGCATGAGCTTTTTCACGTACTGGTGTGTGAAGATTGTCGTAGCTCATCACCTATGCTAGCTGTGGCATCTCCTTAGTTGGTCACTCACTGTCAGGCAAGCATCTTATGCTATAGCTTAGCCCAATTCCCGACTCATGATGATGCTGAAGTTTTTCACTCTTGAGTACAGTTGTTGATAGTAATATGTACCAAATTTATGCCTCTTTCCACATCAGATACTGATGGTGCCAGTGGATGTAGCTCCAGTAAGTCCATACCAATGGTTATGGCAGTAGAAAAGATCAAGGCCCTGTAGGTGCCAATGTGTATTCACCTAGTTGTGCTTGCGGGGGTTGAGCTCTGCTCTTTCGGCCCGCCTCTCAACTGTCAATCAACTGTTACTAACTACTATTTTTTTTTCCTTCCCACACCACAAACTCTCACACACCCCAGGAAGCAGCCCATGACAGCTGACTAACTCCCAGGTACCTATTTATTGCTAGGTAACAGGGGCATCAGAGTGAAAAACTCTACCCATTGTTTCTAGCCGACGCCGGGAATCGAACCCGGGACCACAGGATCAAGCATCCAGCGTGCTGTCCAGTCAGCCACCTGTGATGTGCAGGTGGATGAAAAAACAAGGGTTCTTGTTCTAGGGCCAAGGCCAACCTCTCCCACATCAGTTAAAGCAGGATCCTGCAATGATTTAAGTCACAAGGCATGAGCAAACAAGAGAAATGCCACTTGGAAATTCAACACCCGAGAGGAACAACCATCCAAAAGGACCAATGTTAGTCCTTGGTCATTGATGGACATTGTACAAATACACACTGATGAAAGGGACTCTGAACCCAGGAAGTGTAACAGCAGAGGCCAGTAGGGTGTTTGTCAAAGTCTAAACCCACTTATTGCTATCCTTCATTCAATGATAGCAATTGTGCAGTGTCTCCACATGAACAAGCCAACATGATGCACAACAATACTAAACACGAACTATTAATTATATCAGCTCCTCTGCTGATCAATACAGCAACAAACTCCATTCTTTTAATACAAAAGAATGGCGTTTATACAGTTTCAGTACAACTGTATAAACTCCCATTCTTTTAGAAAATATACTACTGGACAGACAAAATTCATAATGCACACGATATCCATTTATATACACAATACGTACATGTGAGTGCAGGTCCTGAGGGTGAGGATGGGCACAAACACATTGTGGTGGTGAGAGCTATTCAAAAATCTGTCCTTCAGCACTTTCTCTAATAATTTATCTGTAGAGTAATAGAAAATATATCTTCAAATTATTGTAAACAAACAGTAAAGTACTATGCATAATGTAAAAATGATGTAAATAACTGATTTACACGATACAGGGTAAGACGTGTCCTCATATTAAGACACTTTCTTGTCAGAAAGTGTCTTATTATGAAACATACTTTTTAATTATATCAAATGTAATTAACATTGGCAGAAACAGAACAAATAAATTTTACATTTTTGGATAAGTAAATGTAAGTGAAAATTAATACAAGATGTAAATTACCAGTAGAAATATTTAGCTTCTCTTAAACTGGTTAAGTACAGCTTTTAATCTCATTTGTGAGGCCTTTACACAATTTGGGACCCTTAATTTGCATTCCATTTCTGTTTATGTTGAGTTGCAATATAGGAATATCAAATAGACATCTTTCTCATTTGGTGACTGTGGATTCTGTTACAACCATCTAGAAAGCACTTAAGGTCAGGATAAGCATTGCAGTTCAGAGTTTTAAAGATACAGCGTACACGTGAGAGAGTGCATGTGCTGACTTGATATTTAACATTCAAGGAGTTCAATAAGGTACTGAATGTCTGGGATTGGAGTTTACTTTTCTAACTGTTGATTTATGTTGAATAATAATGGATTGTAGATAACTTAACGAGATCAAGCCTGGCCTTGGGCTGGGCTTGGGGAGTAGAAGAACTCCCAGAACCCCATCAAGCAGGTAACTTTGGGATATAGATCACCAAGCATGAGAGATATGGATAGACGAGTGAAGAATTAAGTGTTACCAAGCAGACCAAGGCATGTATTATCAGATTTTAAGGAACATGCCAACTACAGTTTTTTTTTTCTTTTTTTTTTTTTACTTCATGTATATACTGTATATGCAACTGAAACTGTTTGTTGTCAATTTGAACTCCAAGAAATTTTCCATCTACTCTGCTTACAATTTCAGTATTGCTTATTCACAGCCCATTTGATTAGTTGATGTTTTCAAAACAATATGTGCAGTAATAAGTTTTTCAATGTTTTTTCAGCCAGATGAAGGAACATAAGGGAATGCATAGGTCTCTATGCACAGTGAACACATGTGAGGGTATTTCACTTGTGCACAGTGTCAGCAGACAGGAGAGAAGTGCAGGAGCCACCCCACCTATCCGCAGATGGTGAACAAGTGCCCCTTCACTATGTCACGGAACCACTCATTGAGAAGCACATCTTCCTAAGGTTTCCCAACGTCAAGAAAATGGTCGATTTGTCCTCCTCTTAACCTACCAGAAGACCCAAAACAGAAAACGTGACAGTACGTCACTTTCGCAAGTCGCTTCCATTTTCTAATACGACAATTTTTGTCCCTGTGTAACGCATACACACATGTTGCTTTTATGCATGTGCATAAAGGCAACGTTCTTTGTAGAAGAACAGGTTGCACTCAGGGAGGTAGGCATAAGCTACTGTATTCGTACACAAGGTTTTCAAATATTTTGGACAAGGTGACAGGACTGACATTAGTCTAAAGTTGTTAATTTCAGTGAGATCACCACTTTCATGGACTGAGATTACTATCATTTTAATAATATTAGAGAAAGTTCCGAGTTCAAATGAACTCTGAAGTTGTACAATGTTTTGGCGGGAGCTATAACACTTGAGGCTGTATTTTTTTTATAAATTAGGGTTGGTATCTCAGAAAGGTCATGATTTGGTTTTAAGTGAGAGGATTATATTACTGACATCTCAGGAGTTGGAGATGGCAACACCCTTAGGCAAAGGACTGATCATTATGACATAGGGAGCTGCTCCCATATTGGCAACACCTAATGTAGCCAGCTGTAACTAAGGGGAGGATGACCTAACTATTGGGTGGACCATTTACCGAGCTGTTTTCTACATTGTTTGTCAACTTTCTGTAAACCCTGCAGTTGTATGTTTTCTTTCACTTCCTTTCTGGAGGTTTCTTTGGTGTGAGCGATTATGAATGGCGTGCTTCCTGTGCAACTGAGTGGCTGCCTGGTTTTGGCCTCTAGTCTTCTGTACGCTATTTAGGAGTCCTAGGACTGATCTGACTTATATGTGTATAGTATTTACTACTTGAGACTGCTGGATAAAGCTTGTAACTTTTGGACCTAGACTTTCTAGCTGTCGGTTGTCTAATATACTGACTCCTGACCTAATTTTTCTCTATCATATCTACAAGATAAATTTCTCACACACAAACGTCCTCAAAATGCAGTCCATAGCAGTTGTCACTTGGCTATAATTGCTCTTGGGCAGTCTCATTTTATCCACATGTAAAGCAAAATTACAATTTGTTATTACTGACCAAAAGATTCATCCAACATGGCTGTGTGATGCACAAGCAGTAGCCACTTTGATTTAAGTATAGGTGTGGCACCACCCTTCAGGACAGCCAGAAGAGAGTTGTACACACCAAAGCTGTAATGGAAAATATAATGCATGTCATATTGCTGTACATACTCTAAAACAATCACCAGATATCAGGATCAACTCAAAATAGGTCTTTCCACCTGATCATATATTTTCTATTAGAATACAGAACTCATCAAAAGTATACACTGCCCTGCTCAAGGCAGTGCAAACTTATGACAAACAAAAGGGTGATGGTCTTGTGGGTGAAAGATTTTAGACAGAAGTATGAAATGGCTATATGATGTCACAGCAGGAATTAGTTCTCTGAAGTGACCACAGTACTAGAGCCAGTGGCCTCTTGGCTATCATCGTGAGTAGTTATGTGCTACAATTTGTTCCGTGGCTGTGTTGTTTTTTGTACTTATTAGCAGTTCATGTGATATGACTTATTATGGCACCTACCAAGGAAATAAGCAAAGAAACCATTGTTTAGATCATTGCTTTAAAATCAGCAGGTCAACAAAGTAAAGAAATGAGGTAATTGTTGGGTGTAGCCAAGTTGGGAGGGAGCCGGTCGGCCGAGCGGACAGCACACTGGACTTGTGATCCCGGGTTCGGTCCCGGGCGCCAGCAAGAAACAATGGGCAGAGTTTCTTTCACCCTATGCCCCTGTTACCTAGCAGTAAAATAGGTACCTGAGTGTTAGTCAGCTGTCACGGGCTGCTTCCTGGGGGGGGTGGAGGCCTGGTCAAGAACCGGGCCGCAGGGACACTAAAGCCCCAAAATCATCTCAAGATAACCTCAAGATAGAAATTGATGTGAAGTATTGTGTTCATTTCTGAGGGGAAAACAATGGTGACATGCCATCACAGAGACATTGGTCTGGTCGTCCCAGGAAAACTTCAAGGTCTACCCTTGCTGTAACAAAAAGGGTACTACCTATTAAATGTTTTAGAATGTTTACAGATCTTGAAGACATCATCATGGCATAACCAGACCAATGTTTTTGTGATGGCATGTAACCACTGTTTACCCCTCGAAAATGTGCACTATACTTTCTCATGTTGACTTGGCTACACCAAACAATTAACTCATTTCCTTACTCTGGTGGCCTGCTTCCTGTAAAGAAATGATCTGAGCAATGGTTTCTTTGTTTAGTTCCTTGCTATGTGTCAAAAAAAGAATATAATATCACCAACATCACTGTTAAATGCAATAAAGACATGGCAAGGTACCAGAGTGAGATATGCAACCCAACTGCTCACTATGAATGCCTGGTGGCAACTGAGAATATTCCAGCTGTGGTCCACCTGGGAGGTAGCGCACATCGTTATGTCATGACCCTGGCGAGTACTTCTGTCTTGCCATAAGTACACGCTACCTTGACTAGGAATGCTTTTGTCGAGTATTGTACATTATACTGAAACATTTCTTGACCTTAAATACTGTATATTAAACTTCAAACTTAGAAAAGTACTGTACTTACTGAACTTTGGGTACATTACACAGCTTCCTAAGAGATGGATGTGAAAGAAGCTCATCTAGTACCAAGGGTCGGATATATATACTGCCACCACATTTCTCTATCTCCTCAAGAGCAGTATATGACTTCTTATGATTAACAAATAAACACTGAAACAAATATACATGCATAATTAGTCACTTTCTTGCTACTGTAGCATACAGCACATATGAGCAGTAGGATAAAGTCACTTGTCTCTAAACACTAATTTGTAGATTCTTGCTGTAACTAACCTCGCTCTAATGAATTACTCAAAAGTCTGAACAAATTGCTTAGTGGAACGTACAAATGTTTGATTAAGTGAGGATTACTTGTCCAAGCCGACACCAAGGCCGAGCATCGTCTACATCAATAAATAAGTGGTATAGAATCATTTAAACTCAATGACCCCTCAGAATTCGAACCCAAGCAGCCACGGAATCCGGTGTGTCCTGGGCCACAATGTTGAGTGAATACTAATCTACACTTTGGGCTGCATATGTCCATGCCACCCTTCCCCAAGTGCTCCTGTAGTACTGCCCCCGGCATGGGCAGTGTCAGTCCCCAAGAGACCAGGCCACCGGGATGGAGAACCTCACCCTGGGGGTAGTGCACGAGTCTGAGTCTTGTGCAAAACTTTGTAGTTAGGGGCATTCTTGGTTTTCTGGGGATGCATTAGGGTATGTGTGCTAGTTTATATGTCACGCTGCTGGTGTCCTTCATAGCAAAGTTAATCCTATATGATGCATTTGGTGCTTGTTCTTCCAGCAAATGTCCCTAGTGCCTGGGTGTCATGCTTGGTTAACCACTTTCAGGCCTTGGTAACTCCCCTGTGTCAACACACAGTGCTGGGAAGATGGGACAACATGCATAGCTCATCCTGTAACTGCATTAAAGTAATTACCAAGTGTAATTACCTTAGCAGTAGGTAATATGTACTAAAATTGAAGCTAGCTTCACAAGATTGTTACTTTATCAGCCAAATGAACTGTGGGTTATCAGACCCTGAGCCCATTACGTGCCTTCGTAACCCTTCCCACCACCACCACTAATGGGATAGGTATGGGGTCCATAATAAATAACTATAGCCAACAGTAGTAAAAGTAAATGTGATGAGAGCTGAACAAGTTCAGTAACTTGTACATCAGTTGACAGGTGGGACCAAAGTGCTGAAGCTAAACCTCTGCAAGTTCAGCCGAGTATATTTAGAAAAGTATTTAATGGGAAAGGTTACAACATGCAATAATAAAGTTTAGTGTTATTTCATTAAATATGTCAGTCAGTCTGACTATCTATCTATATACACACAAAAATAAAGAAACTTAGTACACACAGAAATCACAATAGCGTCATGCATCAAATGGACAATTCCACAAGGGCCGTGATGAGGGTTCGAACCGAACCCTTGATTCGAACCCTCATCACGGCCCTTGTGGATTTGTTCAAAGAAACTTAGTATTTTTGTTATAACTAACCTTCAATTTCAAAATATCCTGCTGATCAGCATTGAAAAGGTGGATGTACTTTTGCATCTGCAATTCCCGAGATGACTCTGGTGAAGAACCATCTTTCCAGTCTGGCTGGTATAAATTATTTGGTGTAAATATTGAAGTTTTAGTAACAAACATTCCATTATAAGAATCTTGTGTATCTGAGGTGTAAGCATCGTCACATTCAGCTAAGGCCGATGTTCTTTGAGGGCAAAGTCTTAATTTCAGTCTATGATCAGATAAAGTGTATTTTTCTATAATTACATTTTCTGTATTGGTCATGGATTTCTTTGAATGTTCGAGAGAATTTTTAGCATTCTCATAATGACCCGGTAACTGAAGGTTCCTAGGATTTTGATATTTGGATAGAAAATTTACTCCATTCAAACTTGTTGGCAAAGCTTTTCCATTTTGATTTTTCAATTGTCCATTAAGTTTTCTCACTTGTTTCACAATTAATGCTTTGAGTTGTTGATCTAAAATATCTCTCTGCTGCTGACCTTCACATGTATTACTTTTTACACCAGAATCTTGGCAATGAACATTTTGATCCTTGACCATTTGTTTTGTTATAAACTGTGATAGTGTTTTGAGCCCATCAAGAATAGGGGATTGTTCCCCATTACTTACCAATACCATACTGTATGCCTCAATTGTAGGTTTCAGTACATTGACATTTGATTTGAAATTCAAATTAGATTGATTCTGTTTAGATGCGATATAAATTTCTGATGAATTCCTACTATTACTCTTTCCAAACTCATTCAAAGCACTGTATTGCAAGGGTATACAAGTAGTAATATCTTTGGTATTTACTTCTTTTCGTTCACAAATATGAGGCACGTTATTGATACTATGATATTCTCCTTTATTGCCGGTTTTCTGGATTTCATCCATAATTACCCTGTGCCCTACATTGAAACTTATTTGGTCTATATTTTCCTTCTGGTTCTCATGTTGGTTTAACCCAACTGCACAATTACCATCATTGTCAACAAGCACCGATGATTTACAAATCTGTGACACATCCCCATTCTCTTGAATATACAGGTTAGAGCTTGAGGAAAGATGTCTCTTTATAAAGAGCTTGCAAAGCAAGAGAGATAAAGGTGTGTTTACTTGGGATTTAGAAGACAGAACTTCAGCTGCATTTAATTTAAGCATATTAGGTTTTGATGGAATTTTTGAATTTTCTGAATTCCTAAGTGGTTGAACTGAAAAATTACCACCTTTAAAGTTTTCCTCATTTTGAGCTCCATCACTATGTTTAAAGCTATAATCAAGCACTTCACTTACATCTAAAGAAGAGTGGTTTGTTTTTTCATGAAGTTTATCAGTAGATAAAACTGAAGGAAATTCCGAACTATTAGATGAAATATCCTTGGTTTTTGGAGGGTGCCGCACTTGACATGATTTTGGTAATGATTTATCTTCCATGGGTGTCAAGCTCTGAACTTTGCTAAGCTTGCTAGCATCCAGAATTACAGCCTTTTCAACTTCTGGCACTTGTATCGATTTGAGTGGTATGGGTAGCTGTATGTTTAGCCATTGTGTTGTATCCATAATACCATTAGTTAAATTTTCATTACTATCAGGCTTAGGGTCATTATCACTGATGAAATTATGTTGATAATCTTTCACTTTATGTAGTCTTTTAATTTCTGTGTGGGTTTCCGACGAGTCCGGTGCTTCCTGGTGAGCAGATTCAACACCATTTTGAGATATTCGGGGACAAGACGTTTGAAGACCATCCACATTAAGAGGCTTTGTAACTTCTTTATCTGTTATTTCATTATATATTTGATTACCTGAAGCACTACACTCCTGCCCATTTGGAATTATTGTTACATTAATGTTTTCTGAACTGTTCATGATTACTGCTGTCTTCACACTTAGGTTGTAAATTCCATCTTTCATTCCATTACCATTTCTTCTTGCAGGCATTAAGTTAGCATCTAACTGGGTAATTTTACTACACGTATTTATCTGTACATCTTGTACCTTTAAATTGACAGAACCCTTCATAATATCTTCAACAATTACCTTTATTTTCTTCCTAGGCCCCAAAATGTTGTCAACTACCCTCTCATTCATCTTTCTCTTAAATCCTAAATCTGCAATTAATTGGTCAACTTTACCAAATCCTGACTTAATTTTGATACATATTTCATTATTTTCCGATGCATTAAAACCTTTTTCTATGTTACCTAAAGACTTGCTTAGCTTAGGAGATGCCACTTCTGGTTTTTGTTTTCCTACAGCAAGAACTTGTGAACATTTAGAGACTAGCATTTTAGACTTATTTGTAGGAACCTTTTTTTCAGCATTATTTGATTTACTTTTTATTTTTACCACTTTTTCACTTTTTACATTCTTGTATTTACCTTCCTGGTTCCCTTTTGTTGATGGTAGTTTTTTCAAAATTTTGTCACTGGAGGGTAAACAACTATCTTTCTCTACCTTTATCAAATCTTGTTCATTTTTTCCATCCACTTTTTTGCTAATTTTATTTATATCAGACTTTACCAGGTGAGAAAGAACATGATCCACATTACTTGCTTTCTCAATTTTCTTACAATTTGACATTCGTTTTGAGCTACTCTCTCTTTTACTTCTCTTCAACATACTTGGTATAATTGAGTCTGGCTTGTTTATGCTCTTCGAACAAAACTTATTGTTCAACATCACTGTATCCAACATACTAAATGCACGAGATCCCACGTATTGATTTCCTTCATTTTCTATGGACTTTCTATTTGTTGTAACAGCTTGAGTGACAGTGTTCTCAGGCACTAAAGCTGTGCTCACAGAAGAATCTGATTTCTTCCTTCCAGCTACTGTACTTTGTAAAGTTTCTCCAAGTTGGAGACGCTTGGATTTCTCTCTCTTTTTGGGGTATATACGTGTTGCCGCGACATATTTACTCTTCGTGGATCCATCCACAGTCATGAGAGATTTTTGTTTCAGTTTATTATTTATAGAGCATTCATTTTCATCTATTTCAATAATATTTTCCTTTTCCTCTGGTAATTTTGTATTCATTTGTTTAGGTTTCATTGTATCTTTTGAATTACCTATTTCTGTATCACTACTGCTGTCGCGTCTACTTTTGTACCCAATACTACATTTTTTTTTCATATCCTCTGTTGTTTTTGGTTGATAACTAGCTTTAGAGGTTGTGCTACAGTTGATCTGCTCAGATCCACTTGAGGGAGTGTAGAACTCCTTCATCTGAAAAACAATTATTTTATTTTATAAGTAATAACCTTCTACAATACACATTAAAAACTTTACATTTATAAAGGAATAATTAAATGGGAATCAATGAATATAATCCATGAGCATCCGGTATGAGAAGCAGACAAGACTGTCAGGTGACCCAGCAGAGGGACATCTCGTTTCTAAAACCACCGAAGGTTCAAATAATTTCCCTAACATGATCCCCCCCCCCCCCCCCCCCCCCCCCGAGGTCTCTGGCAATTTCTTGAGGTTATCTTGAGATGATTTCGGGGCTTAGTGTCCCTGCGGCCCAGTCCTCGACCAGGCCTCCATCCCCAGGAAGCAGCCCGTAGCAGCTGTCTAACTCCCAGGTACCTAATTACTGCTAGGTGAACAGGCACCTCTGCTCTTCACTGGTTCCATTCTGCATTTTCTTCCATATCGTTCACTCCAGTACGTTGTTATTTTACTGTGTAGATTTGGTACTTAGCCCTCCAGTATCTTCCAGGTGTATATTATTTGATATCTCTCTCGTCTTCTTTCTAGTGAGTACATTTGGAGGGCTTTGAGACGATCCCAATAATTTAGGTGCTTTATCGTGTCTATGCGTGCCGTATATGTTCTCTGTATTCCCTCTATTTCAGCAATCTCTCCTGCTCTGAAGGGGGAAGTGAGTACTGAGCAGTACTCAAGAAGGGACAACACAAGTGACTTGAAGAGTACAACCATTGTGATGGGATCCCTGGATTTGAAAGTTCTCGTAATCCATCCTATCATTTTTCTGGCTGTCGCAATATTTGCTTGGTTATGCTCCCTAAACGTTAGGGCGTCAGACATTATTCCCAAATCCTTTACATGCTGTTTTCCTACTATGGGTACATTTGATTGTGTTTTGTACCCTGTATTATGTTTAAGGTCTTCATTTTTACCGTACCTGAGTACCTGGAATTTATCACTGTTAAACATGTTATTTTCTGATGCCCAGTCGAAAACTTTATTAATATCCGCTTGAAGTTTTTCAATGTCTTCAGCAGAGGTAATTTTCATACTGATTTTTGTGTCATCTGCAAAAGATGATACGAAGCTGTGACTTGTATTTTTGTCTGTATCTGATATGAGAATAAGGAAAAGCAGCGGTGCAAGGACTGTACCCTGAGGTACAGAGCTTTTAACTGCACTTGGACTAGATTTTATATGGTTGACCATTACTCGCCGAGTCCTGTTTGACAGAAAACTGAGTATCCAGCGTCCTACTTTACCGGTTATTCCCATTGACTTCATTTTGTGTGCTATCACGCCATGGTCACATTTATCGAAAGCCTTTGCGAAGTCTGTGTATATCACATCAGCATTCTGTTTTTCCTCTAATGCCTCAGTGACTTTGTCGTAGTGCTCAAGTAGCTGTGAGAGGCACGATCTTCCTGCTCGAAATCCATGTTGGCCTGGGTTGTGAAGGTCATTGGTCTCCATGAAATTGGTGACCTGACTCCTAATCACTCTCTCAAATACTGTACTTTTATTATGTGCGATGTTAGTGCAACTGGTCTATAATTCTTTGCCAATGCTTTGCTCCCTCCCTTGTGTAGAGGAGCTATGTCTGCTACTTTAAGTGCATCTGGTATCTCCCGTGTCCAAGCTCTTCCTCCACACTATACTGAGTGCCTGTGCTACCGGCACTTTGCATTTCTTTATAAATATTGAATTCCATGAGTCTGGACCTGGGGCCCGAGTGCATGGGCATGTTTTCAATTTCTCTTTCAAAATTTAGTGCGCTCGTATTTATATCAGTTATATTTACAGGGGTTTGAATATCCCGCATAAAGAAATTGTCTGGATCTTCCACTTTCATGTTGTTTATTGGAGTGTTAAACATGTCCTCATACTGCTTTTTTAGGATTTCACTAATTTCTTTGTCATCCTCCGTGTATGAACCTTCACTTATATGAATAGGTCCAATACTGGCAGTGGTTTTTGCTTTTGATTTCGCATAGTTTTTGCTTTTGATTTCGCATAGTTTTTGCTTTTGATTTCGCATAGTTTTCACAATTAGTTTTTAGCACTACTGTATTAATATTCACCTGATGAAACATTGACGAGGCTAAGTATGCAGTCTGTCATGAGCATGTACGAACTTGCCAATAACTTATGCTATTTACCGAATAAAATCCATTATTCTCAAATACAGAAAACCTGAAAATTATATAATTTAGCCCATCCAGAGATTTGGAAGCTAGTCAGAAGATCAAGAGGGAATTGTAATTACTGTATACAATATTGGTTAGAAAATTGTATTTGTACTTTTTATATATTTATTCATCTTTTCTGAAGTGTCATAGATCTTATAAACAATACTAAACATATAAATACAATACATATAACAAATTAATGGCCATCACAGGGACTGCCTCTATGAAAGTAAATGAACAATTATGATTGCATAACTACTAAACATCACGCGACTGCTTAACAATAGTAGGGACTCACCGCAGAAAGCTCACTATTACGCCACTCATTATAAATGTTCATAGCATTCTCTATGCAGTTGTTGAATACAAAGATGACATTGAGTGAGGGTTGATGAGGATCGGGAAAAGGTTTCAAGCCCAGCTGCCGGAGCTCTGCACACTCGGGCGCAAGGATAACTTCTACAAGCAGCCTTGGGTTAACTAACTCTGAGGTCAATATACACGGCTGCAAAGAAACATTAAAAATAAAGTTAAATATATTGGCATAAATGACAGCATAATGTATATACAGAACAAGATAAAGGCAACTATTGTGTATTTAATTGAATGTTATGAATAAACCCCACAAATTTTTGCATTGTAATTAACATGCCTGTCATGTCAATTGTGTAAATCTTGTAATAAGGCATAAATAAGAACACATGTTAAAGGAAAACACATTACCTGCATTACTGTATACAGTACTGTATTCTGGAACTGTCAGGATAGAATATATGAAAAAGGGAATGAAGAAAACCCCAGAACATTCCTTTCTTACTTTATGATCACAGAACACTCAGATAATGCTCCACAAGTGATCTTTGTGAACCCATTATAATCCTACAACTTGCGATGATTTGATTCACACTCCCAAAACTACACAATAATACCACTGCCCTCTATGTTATTACACTTTTACGATTCACTACCACTAGCGTACAGAATTCCAATGCTTGAGTCTATTCTTGGCTATTATTTTGTTCAACTAGTAGTTTGCTAACTTTGCCATTAGCATACTTTTGCAATACTAGAAGTTTGTTAAATGTAAACAGGTACAATGGGTTGTAAATATACATGTCTGATTATATAGCACATTCTTACAAACTCGGTAACATGCACAATTTTTTAATTATCACCTATCTCATTAAAACAGATATTTCATTATTATATTTTATTTCAAAATTATTTTGTTCCACAGTGCTACAATTCCATTGTGTCTGAATTTGTGTATCTGATGTATAGTATGGTGGAACTGCTCCATATAGTAGACAATATGTATTTCAGCGAATAAGAGTTGAATACTATACCAAAGCTAGAAGATAATAGAAAAACTAGCTGGACTCAATAAATACAAGAGGTCATAGAGTCAAACCAAGGAAACAAACCTGCAGAAAAAAACATTAGAAAATTCACTTTAGCAAGTAGTGAGGTAGATGGTTGGAACAAATGAGAAGGTGGAGGATGCCAAACCTGTTAGTAATTTCAAAGAGTTATATGACAGTACAGTACTGGGAAGATGGGACATCATGAGCATAGCTCTCATCCCATATGAAGCTGACATGCTTCACACTTGGGTAATTACCTATGTGTCCTGACACATGGGTAACTACCCAAGTATCATTACCTAAATATAGTTAACGGATGTGGTGGTGGTGGCGGCGACTTGTCTTCACTATAATCTTTGCCATGTGGCATTTTAAAACTTTCAATAGTTTTGGACACTACTACCCTTTCAATTTATTCCATGTCTACCACACTGTATAAAGCATGTTTATGTAGAGCTTTATACAAGATATGTAAACAAAGCCAATATACTCCGACATTAAATATAGCTATAAATGTTACTAACTGCATACAACTCTTGCATTTAATTTATCACATTTGAATAGAGAGACTGATATACCTTTTGAGTTTGAGTTAATTCTTGAGCGAGCTGAAGAAACTGCGGTGTATGAGACGTAATATGGAATGTCGATATAGTTTTGTCTTTGATTTGTGTTGGATATTTTTGAGACAATAAACATGGTTCACTCCTCAATATTTTACACCAAAGGTCATCATATTTTCCAATACATGACATCTTCAAGCTTCCACCACTGTTGGAATAAGAGTAAATAACCTGAATAGATCTTTAAAGTACAGTATAAATCACATTTGAATTTAAATATTACTTTCCTGAATGTAAAACTATCCTAAGAATTGGCAGCAGGCATTTGTAATTTGTAATTTTTCAAGGATGAAAGCATACTCTAAAATTACCAAGACAATTTATCTTTCTCAGTAAGACATTTAATATATTCAAGATGGGTATGTATCGAATGTCATAGTAAGTATAATTATAGCCCAAGAGTCGGGACGTGCGCACATCCTGGAAATCTACATCTCATCCTGGAAACATTCTTGTACTGTATCAACATGTTAAACAAGCTACGAGGATGAGGGAAGGGGACGTTCCCTCCATGCTAGATTTGATATTTACCAGGAAGGAGGAAGAGATATTTGTCATTCAGTACCTTCCTCCCTTGGGTAAAAGTGACCATGTCTTTTTGGGAATAAAGTATACAATGCGTTATAATCTGGAAGAAAATAAGTAGGTTGAAGCAGTTGAAAAACCTGACTTCAGGAGAGGACATTATGGCGACCTTAGAACATTTTTTAGTGAGTATAATTGGACATACAATTAACTTCCTTGCTAGGCAAGGAAGTGAATGAGATGTATGTCAAGTTTTGTGAAATATATGATAAAGGCACAAAAAAATTTATACCAAAACAGAGATGCAGAACTAAGAAACAGGATTGGTTCAACAGAAATTGCGAGAGGGCCAGAGACCAAAAGCCACAAAAATGGAATCATTACAGGAAGAGGCCAAACCCCCAAACATACCAGCGATACAAAAATGTGAGAAAACTACATGGCAGTGAGGAGAGAGGCAGAAAGAAATTTTGAAAAAGGGATTGCAGACAAATGTAAAACAGAACCAGGTCTATTCTATAAATTCATAAACAACAAATTGCAGGTAAAGGATAATATTCAGAGGTTGAAAATGGGAAATAGATTCACGGAAAATGAAAAGGAAATGTGTGAAACATTAAACAAAAAGTTCCAAAGTGTGTTTATACAAAATGAAATCTTCAGGGAACCAGATACAATAAGAATTCCAGAGAACAACATAGAGCACATAGAGGTGTCTAGAGACAAAGTGGAAAAAATGCTCAAGGAGCTAAGTAAGAACAAAGCAGTTGGTCCAGATGGAGTTTCACCATGGGTTCTGAGAGAATGTGCACTTGAGCTCAGCATTCCACTTCAACTGATTTTTCAGGCATCCTTGTTTACAGGAGTTGTAGCTGATGTGTGGAAAAAGGCTAACATAGTTCCAATCTACGAAAGTGGAAGCAGGGAAGACCCCCTTAATTATAGACCTGTATCATTGACATGTGTAATAGTCAAAATATTGGAAAAAATAATTAAAACTAAATGGGTAGAACACCTGGAGGAAAACGATATAATATCAGACAGACAGTATGGTTTTCGATCTGGAAGATCCTGTGTAACAAACTTACAGTACTCAGTTTTTATGATCAAGCCACAGAAATTTTACAGGAAAGAGATGGTTGGGTTGATTGCATCTATCTGGACCTAAAAAAGGCTTTCAACAGAGTTCCCCATAAGAGGTTGTTCTGGAAACTGGAACATATTGGAGGGGTGACACGTAAGCTTCTAACATGGATGAAAAATTTCCTAACTGACAAAAATGAGGGCCGTAATCAGAGGCACGGTATCGGATTGGAGGAATGTCACGAGAGGAGTACCACAGGGTTCAGTTCTTGCACCGGTAATGTTCATTGTCTACATAAACGATCTACCAGTGGGAATACAGAATTATAAGACATGTTTGCTGATGATGCTAAGATAATAGGGAAGATAAGAAACCTAGATGATTGTCATGCCCTTCAAGAAGACCTAGACAAAATAAGTATATGGAGCAATACTTGGCAAATGGTATTTAATGTGAATAAATGCCATGTTACGGAATTTGGAATTGGAGAACAGACCCCACACAACCTATAAATTATGTGAGAATTCTTTAAAGAATTCTGACAAAGAAAGAGATCTAGAGGGGGTTCTAGATAGAAAACTGTCACCTGAGGACCACATTAAGAACATTGTGCGAGGAGCCTATGCTACACTTTCTAACTTCAGAATTGCTTTTAAATACATGGATGGAGAAATACCAAAGAAAGTGTTCACAACTTTTGTTAGACCAAAGCTGGAATATGCAGCGGTTTTATGGTGCCCATATCTTAAGAAGCACATCAACAAACTGGAAAAGGTGCAACGACATGCCACTAAGTGGCTCCCAGAACTGAAGGACAAGAGCTACGAGGAGAGATTAGAGGCATTAAATATGCAAAAACTAGGAGATAGAAAAAGAGGCGATATGATCACTACGTTCAAAATAGTAACAGGAATCGATAAAATTGATAGGGAAGAATTCCAGACTCGGAACTTCAAGAACAAAAGGTCATAGATTTAAACTAACAAAACAAAGCTGCCGGAGTAACATAAGAAAATTCACTTTTGTAAACAGAGTGGTAGATGGTTGGAACAAGTTAGGCGAGAAGGTGGGAGGCCAAAATCGTCAGTATTTTCAAAGCATTATATGACAGTGCTGGGGAGACGGGACACCACGAGCGTAGCTCTCATCCTGTAACTACACTTGGGTAATTAAACTTAGGTAATTACACAGTCAGGGTGAAACCACCTGGTTGTGTGTCCTGAGTATCAGTATATTTACCAGAATTTACCCGAGGAAGTCGGCGGCTTGTCAAAGGTCGTCTGCCCGAATGAACTTTTCCAACTGTATTTTAAAGCCCAGCAGAGTTTTGGCATTATGGCTTCAGCGGGTAGGCAGTTCCCCAGGTTTACAATCTTATGGGTAAAAAAGCATCTCCTGTTTTGTCCTACATTGTGGCTTGTTGAGCCCATTGCTCCTCATTCGTGTTACATCTGATTTTGTTAAGAAATTGTCCGGATTGACATCCTCCAAATTATTCAGTACAGTTTTTTTTAAAGGTTTCCATGAGATCTGCCCTGTCATGCCTGGTTTGTGGTGTTAACCCTGTGGCCCTCAACCGTTCCTGATACAAGAAATATCTAAGTTCTGAGTTGATTTTTGTTGCCAGGTGTTGCACCTTCTCTAGAGCAGCTATATCTTTCTGAAAATGAAGTCTCCATGCCTGGATGCCATAATCCAGGTGAGAGCACACCAGAGGCTTGTATAATTAAACAACTACTTTCTTTTCCTTGAAGGTAAAGGTACACTTGATTATTCTCAGGGTTTGGTTCACTTTTTTTCTGCCACTCCCACTTGTGCAACTTTTAGTGAATAATGGATTTAGACTCCAAGGTCCTTTTCTTCATCTAATGGTCATCTGACCATTTGTGGAATTCATGTAGATCTCTGTAAGGTCTCAATATCACTCGCTTCCCACTTTACCATAGATCTTAGTGTCATATGCAAATTTGATGATGAGGTTTGTAACTCTCATCTATGTCATTCATATAAATGCCAAAAATTATTGGCTCCAAAATGGACCCCCGTGGCACCCCACTTTAGCACACATTTTCCCAGTCAGATTCATTTGTCCCTTGACTTTCATACAGCTGGTATTTTTCCAACTTGTCAACACTTATAAATATCTTTTTCATGACAATATTATACTCTTTCTGCATTCTCATAGCTTAGCAATTTTATTAAAGAACTGACCTGGTGGAATATATATGGATTTACTATACATGTATGTGCTAGAGAATATGCAGATTCCAGGCTAGGGATTAATACACCAATATTTGTCTTAATGTTGCTCAGTTATTCTTCCGTTCCTCAAAAATATACAGTAAGAAAATTTAATTAAAACATTTGAACTAAGATTAATTGTGGATCTTTCACAAATAATACACTGTACATACTTACAGTCCAGGGATAAGTGTGTTGTAACACGACCATATTGTTGCTAGTCCAATGTCATTTGCGCCAACAAATAACTGGCCACGCCAAATGTACCAAAATTCATCCATCATTACTCTATGCAATCTGTTAAATACGAAAATTTGAGATATAAAAAAGCCAGTGTTAAATGCAATAAAATTGCCTCTTTCCAGTGGGTCCTTGGTGCTTGCTACCTGGCAAGTTCCACCCATTTCATGCCAGGCCTTTGTGAGTCATGTAGTTCTACCAAGAATCAAAACCTGCCCCTTCCCCTCCTAGAGACACACAAGGAGCAGGGGATCACAGATCCCCCTAAGAAAAGGCCACCAGACACCAAAACATTCAAAGATTGGACTGGATGGAGTTTTACAGGCAGCAAGCACCAAGGAGCAATACCAGAAATAAAATTTGGAATTATTCCACAGTTTCTTAGAAGCAGTACTCACAATACAAACAAAACTGCATTAAGAAATATTCTTAAAGCAACATATCCCTCTTCACCCCCTTCCCCATCATTTATATACATTTCTATATAGTATACAGTGGTACCTCGGTTTACGAACGTCCCTGTTTACGAACTTTTCGGGTTACGAGCCAGATTTGTTCAGAAAATTTTAATTGGGATACGAACTTTACATCGGGATACGAGTTTGTTGATGCGCATACAGCCTAGCTCGTGGTGGCACGGCGATTGCGCCTCAGTTTACCAGTGCCTCGCTCCCAGTGACTATCCCGCCTGAATTCTTCACAAGAATTTACAGTTTTTTGTTGGATTTTTGGCCATTTGAGCATAAAAGTTGATAATATATATCTTGCCATGGGTCCCAACTCTCGCCATGGGTCCCAAGAAAGCCAGTGGCAAAGTTCAAGGCAAGAAATCACATGTGAGAATGACCATAAAGGAAAAACAAGAGATCATTCGTAAGCATGAAAATGGTACGCGTGTTGTTGAACTAGCTAGGCAGTACAACAAATCTTCAGGGCAGGAAGAGGAGGCAGTAGAGAATGTCCCTTCACCATTAAGAAAATGTGTGCAGTATGGGAAGGACTGCAATGTTTTGCTGAAAAGAATCACCCAGAGAAAGCTGTAGTAAGCCATTGCATTAATCTTTTCAATGACAATGTGATGCCTCATGTTATGATCCCAGGCAGCCGAAAAACGAATCTCCCCTTTGAGAATTATTCTATCAAGCCTGACCTGACTAGAAGGTCTAGGAAATACAGACATGAAGATTCATATGTAAAAAAAATTGGGTAAATTTTACAGAGTTTAAGAATATGGGCGGTGGATAAGAAAATAGATAAATGACTGGTTATGAGATGTGGATAATTTGCTGGAGGCGTGAGGCTCACTTCGGGAGGGCTCTGACCCCACTTGAGTACCAGACATTGTGAGGGGAAGCTGTGCTCCGTGTGAGCTGTCAGAGAGGATCCCCTGTTGGATATACCTTCAAGAGAAAGGAAGTGTGCAGACGTTCCAGCTGTGCAATCGAGCTGGGAACGTTGTGGTCTCAAGTCCTGGAAGGCAAGGAGAGTTTGTTAAGCCGCCTAGACACATTTTCGTGGACCGTGAGAGCACCCTGATCAGACTCCGTCAGAGGGAGAGCGCCCTCGACTAGACAATTTGTGGTAAAGCACAATTTTAGGCCAGTTTATAGCGATTACTTGTAGTGGGTCGTGTGCCCAGCGACAGTAGCGAATGTTTATCGATAAGTTAGACATGTTTTGGTAAGGCAGAAGGCCTAAAATAAGAGTGGAGATGGAGGAACGTCCTGGAGGACAGAGCGACGTCCATCTCCTCTGAGCACTGGCAGATGACTGAGGGAACCCAGCTCCTGGCGGGGTAGCTGCCTCGAGGGCTGCCTGGCCGGGTGGAGCATGGACCAGCCCAAACGGGGGAGTCTGCTCTCACATTATGTAGAGAGCAGATAGATGTTGGATGCAAACATATTGTGTGGATTATTTCGTCTGTGTGTTTATAAGGAAACGTTTTTAGTGGCGTGTCAATGGGTTGCAGGTTTGTCTTTGGAAGAAGTTGCTGAGAACTTCGAAGCCAGCACAGAGGGAGTAGTTAAAGAGACTCCAAGACTGTTGAAGGAGTAGTGTACTCTGAAGATGAGTAGCCCCACAGTGAAGAGTAGAACCTCAAGTTGTGAGGAGAAGCAGTGAAGAGGAGTGTCACATGCTTCTGTAATGTCAGTGGTGAAGCACCATTGTTGATCAAGGAAGACTTCATGGTGTAGCAGCCAGGAGAGCTGTGGAGGACCCTAGTAGAAGTGGTGAAGCACCATAGTTGCTCAAGGAAGACTTCATGGTGTAGCAGCCTGGAAGAGCTGCGGAGGATCCTGGTAGATAAATCCGGAAGAACCTGAAGATGTCAGGGTAGTGAGCTTCCAGATGTGGAAGGGAAGTTCTGGTTGATTACTTGTAGGGAGTTGGTAGAGTGTTTGGTTGTCATTAGTGTGCAAGACGCAGTTTAAGGTGAGCGATTGTTTGCCATTTTTGTGCCAAGGAGAACGTATACTGAAGTATAGAGTTACAGTCGTAGGCTGGATTACCTACAGAGACATACATGTGTGTTCTAAGGCTGATAGGGTAATCGATTGATCATTGTTGTATATCAAGGAACATTTATACTAATATTTATGTTATTGCAGCCATACGCTGGTTTTCCTGGTATGTGTATACTGTATATATATATATTTTCTCTTGCTGATAGTGCAACAGTGTGTTACAAGACTTGACCTACTTGAGGAGGTTAGTAGTATTACAGGAGATAGGATACCACTTGATAAGCAGATGATAGAGTTCTGATGGTGTTGGAGTGCAACCTGACTGAAATAGTATAGTGTGTAGGATTCATTATTATTATTGTATGTGTGTATGTATTGTGTATGTGCTTTGTCCAGTAAATGTATCCAAATTTGCTGGTGTTTGCCCTTGTCCTAGTGAGGCTTCCCAGGAAGTAGGAAAGAAGGAGAGAGAGAGAAAAAGAACCAAGAACCACAGCTGTGGACAGGGTAGAACGGAAAACTAACAAGTCAAAGGGGATTGAGATCATATCACATAAGGAGAGAGTGGGGAGTCACAGTGGCTCCAGTGGGTGTGTGCACGTGACAACGAGGCTAAGTATTGGAGCCACATTCCCCAAACGTGTGACGTTGAGCCCATCTCCAAGAGCCAGAATCACCCAGGGTGATCTCCTGGTAAAGTATAAGCACTCTACCGAGTTTTGGGTTGGGTTGTCCATAAAGAAGGATCAACGACAACACACCAACCCACAATACTCACTACAGACAAGTGTTGCAAAGAAGGGAAAAACAATCTTCAATGGAACGTTTCCTTGTGAGAAAAGTGAGAAAATCAAGCAGAGTCACAACCAGGACTTAGTGGTATGCAGGCAAAACTTGCCCGAGAGTGCACTCCAGAGAAATCTTCACTGCCTGATGTTATAATGTGGATCTTTCACAAATATAACACACTGTATTAAATTCATAAATCATTACTCATTACTGTTATTACAGTAACACCTCTCCTCACCATCTTCCATACACCAACAGGAGTCATCAGTAGGGGTAAGTAATAACGTGAACATACTTTTGTGGTGTAGATTTGGGTGAATTAGGTATAAAAATTAAGTTTGAAGTGATGTTTTTGGGGAGTCAGGAAGATTAATTTATTTCCCATTATTTCGTATGGGGAAATTCGCTTCGGTTTAAGAATTTTCGGGTTACGAACCGTCTCCAGGAACGGATTAAATTCTTAAACCGAGACACCCCTGTACATACATATATCTTTTACACAGCCCTTAATACACAGTAGAATTATATATGCAAAATTGTATATTCATAATTTGTTTTCCAAGCAAGGAATAAGTCACAATAACATGCCTGAAAATAAATAACCCAACCCACACATAAGAAACAAGAAAAGTGACATTTCAACCCTTCCTAGGTCCTAAACAGGTTGCAACTGATACATATAGGGAAGGAAGCCATTATATAAAGCCAGAGAGATGATTTGGAAGTAGTAGTACTGTAGTGAGGTTTATGTGGGAAAAAAGAGCAAAAACAAACTAAAGTAGAATGTTCAAATCCAGGGATCCCTTCATAATGCTCATTCTGTATTGTTCAAATCGCTTGTGTTGTCCTGCCTCGAGTACTGTTCAATACTCACTTAAGGCTGGGGAGGGAGAGCCTTTAGAGATTGTTGAAATAGAAGACATGGCACGCACACACACACACAAAGCACCAAAATTATTGGGATTGTCTCAAAGCTCTCAAGATGTTCTCTCTAGAAAGGAGACAAGAGAGGTATCACATAATATACGTACTACTGTATACAATACAGTACATGGAAAATACTGGTGGGTCAGATCCCAAATTTGCACACAAACAAAAACACACTGGGAAAAATTATATGGAAGGAAATGCAGAATAGAGCCAGTGAAGCATATTAGTTCTTTAGGCACAATCATGGAACAATATCTGAACATCAGAAGTCTATAGTTCAATATCATCCCAGCATGTATAAAAAACATTGCCAGAACAAAAGCGGAATTCAAGAAAAAACTGGACAGTTTTCTCTAAGAAGTGCCAGACTAACAGGACTGAAGTAGATAAGTGGGCCTGCGGGTTGCTCCAAGCAACAGCCTGTTAGATCAAGTTCTTAAGTCAAGCCTGGTCCGTTGACAAGTGGAAAACACCTAGAACCCCATCCAGGTACAATCCCGCTCCCTGGATAAAAGTAGAAACTATATAAGGCATGTAGAGAAAGGATCAAGAGTAAATCCTTGCAGAGTAAATCAAACTCTGGCCCCAGACATCACTCGGTACCCCTAGTCAAATCTCTGAATATGTTAGATATTGTCACTGCACATTCTCTCATGTGTATTATACATATATAAAACGCTGAACTGTAATGCCAATCCTGACCTCAAAAGCTTCACTGAAGCTCCACACCAGAAATAAATACAGTTTTGATATTCCAAGAGTACGACTTAATCAAACTAGAAATGCTCTACAAATCAAAGGACCCAGAATGTGGAATGACCTTCCCAACCATGTTAAAGACTGTACCTCTCTCAACCAGTTTAAAGTACAGTAAAAACAAAGCACTACCTAATAAATTCCCTGTAATCTACCTTACCCCTCTATTGTCAACCCATGTCTTTTTTTAAAAACAACGCTGTTTGTCGACCTAATTGTTATTTGTGCTGCTTTTTCAGCCATGTTCCCACCTTTTTTGTCTATTTTTATTTGTTCTCAACACATTTTATTCTTTATACTCAATTAGTATTAAGTTTTAGTCATTAATGTTTTTCCTGCCCGAAACGCTATACGTAATAGTGGCTTTAGGCATTGTATGTACTAGCTCTATCTATGAATCAATCAAATTTTGGAAAATCTCTTGTATGTACCTTACCTTTTTATTTTAAATGCAAAAAGTAAATAAAGAAACTGAGACAGGGACAGAAGAGATAGTAGAGCACAAAAGGTACCTTGGAGTTGTTCCGGGGCTTAGCGTCCCCGCGGCCCGGTTGTCGACCAGGCCTCCTCATTGCTGGACTGGTCAACCAGGCTGTTTGATACGGCTGCTCGCAGCCTGACGTATGAATCACAGCCTGGTTGATCAGGTATCTAGGATCAGGTAGATAACTAACTCTTCAAAAAAAAAGAGATCATAGAGACAAGCTTAGAAAACAAAGCTGCTGAAAAATCATCAGAAAGTTCTCCTTTTGCAGTGGTAGACAGCTGGAACAAGGGAAAATGCAGAAGGCCAAAACCTTCAGTAGTTTCAAAGCACCGTGTGACAGCACTGGAAATATGGGACACCATGAGCATAGTTCTCCTACCATAACTACACTCTTAGAAATTATTTGCTAATGACGATTAAAATATTTAACTACCGTTAAGTACTGTATTGAAAAAGATAAGAGTTAAAGGCAACAAAGCCAGGACAAAGATTCATGTCAAGACATGTTGAATTTATGTACAGCTACTCTCCATAGATGCTCTCTTATTGAATGAAAATTAATCTTACTAGAAATACAGTACTGTATAGTATAAAAAAAAAATATTGTACAGTACTTTCCCACCCTCAAAGAATATTGGTTATGAGAGTGCCCCAGCTAATTGGTTAAACTATTATATTTTTATTATCTCAAGGTAAACACAAAATTAGCCACTATTGTATTTTCATAATTGGCCTACAAAATAACTAACCAAGCATTGGATATATTCATAGCCATTCTAAATTGTGCTACCCATTACCTATTTTACAAGAACACTTTGTAAAACAAATCTTTTTTTTAAAAAACATTCAAATTACCTTGCATAATCTACCAATACATTATACTGTAATAGGGGTACCACCTCTGGTGCAATTGTAGGGACCCACAACCTCAAAGAAGAAAATAAGGAGTACTCAGAAGACCTTGTGGATTCTCACTGAACACAATCTTTTCTTCTCCTACCACCCCTATTATTTTTTAGATATTTTTTGCTGTAGTTGTAATTTTAATACCTATATTTTGATTTGAATAGGAAGTTACAGGAAATCTAGAGCATTTGGAAAATTAAGTCCGTGTATGCCAGCCGAACGCCCCGCGCATCACCGGTCGAGCGCCCCGCGCATCACCGGTCGAGCGCCCCGCGCATCACCGGTCGAGCGCCCCGCGCATCACCGGTCGCGTGCCCTGCACACACCCTGAACATGACCAAACTAGAGATCTGCGCACACCCTGTGCATGATCACTCGAATGCTCTGCACACACCCTGCGAATGACCAGCCAAAAGATCTGCACACACCCTGTGCATGACCAGCTAAAAGATCTGCACACACCCTGGGCATGACCAGCTAAAAGATCTGCACACACCCTGGGCATGACCAGCTAAAAGATCTGCACACACCCTGCACACGACCAGCTAAAAGATCTGCACACACCCTGCGCCTGACCAGCTAAAAGATCTGCACACACCCTGCGCCTGACCAGCTAAAAGATCTGCACACACCCTGGGCATGACCAGCTAAAAGATCTGCACACACCCTGGGCATGACCAGCTAAAAGATCTGCACACACCCTGGGCATGACCAGCTAAAAGATCTGCACACACTCTGGGCATGACCACCTAAAACATCTGCACACACCCTGGGCATGACCAGCTAAAAGATCTGCACACACCCTGGGCATGACCAGCTAAAAGATCTGCACACACCCTGGGCATGACCAGCTAAAAGATCTGCACACACCCTGGGCATGACCAGCTAAAAGATCTGCACACACCCTGGGCATGACCAGCTAAAAGATCTGCACACACCCTGGGCATGACCAGCTAAAAGATCTGCACACACCCTGGGCATGACCAGCTAAAAGATCTGCACACACCCTGGGCATGACCAGCTAAAAGATCTGCACACACCCTGGGCATGACCACCTAAAACATCTGCACACACCCTGGGCATGACCAGCTAAAACATCTGCACACACCCTGGGCATGACCAGCTAAAACATCTGCACACACCCTGGGCATGACCAGCTAAAACATCTGCACACACCCTGGGCATGACTAGCTAAAACATCTGCACACACCCTGGGCATGACCAGCTAAAACATCTGCACACACCCTGGGCATGACCAGCTAAAACATCTGCACACACCCTGGGCATGACCACCTAAAACATCTGCACACACCCTGGGCATGACCAGCTAAAAGATCTGCACACACCCTGGGCATGACCAGCTAAAAGATCTGCACACACCCTGAGCATGACCAGCTCAATGCACTGTGCACACCCAGACGAGGACAGGACTCCGGCGGCTTGTCAAAGTCCATTCCCCCCCTCCTTTTGCCCTTATGGTCTTTTACAGTTGTGCTTTAAAAGTTACGAGTTTGGCATTGACGGCTTCAGCGGGTAGGCGGTTCCATTGGTTTATAACCCTTTGGGTGAAAAACCATCCCCTGTTCTCAATGTAATGACAAGCTGATGTACTTTGTAACTTACACATGAGCGGGTGAGGGTGTATGACAGACCTGGCGCACACGCCTACCTTCCAGCCCTGTGGATCACAATTGTCAAGAGGAGCTGTCTGACCCGTAATGATACAGGAGAGAATCGCCGGTGACCTCTGGCAGGTCCAGCACCCTCCGCCTCCAGTCCATAGGCGGCGCTCATTGTTACCCTACACTGTCTGTCTACACCTGGCCCTTCACTGTCAGTCTACACCTGGCCCTTCACTGTCAGTCTACACCTGGCCCTTCACTGTTAGTCTACACCTGGCCCTCACTGCCACCCTACAACAGGGTGGACAAAGACAAACTCTCCGTGGAACACGAACAAGGGGACACAGGTGGAAACTGAGTACCCAAATGAGCCACAGAGACATTATAAATATTTCTTTCAGTGTCAGTGTTGTTAACAAGTGAAATGCATTAGGCAGTGATGTGGTGGAGGCTGACTTCAAATACAGTTTCAAATGTAGGTATGATAAGAGCCCAGTAGGCTCAGGAATTTGTTCATCAGTTGAGAGGCGGAACCACAGAGCCAGAGCTCAACCACCGCAAACACAGCTAGGTGAGTACTGCTACCCTATAGATCTGCCGCTTCTTTCCATGAATACATTTTGAGTACTGTGAGGCGGTCCCAATAATTTAGGTGCTTATTGTGTGTCTACATATGTGTTTTATGTGTGTTCTGTATTCATTTAATTTTCAAAAATCCCTTCAGCGTTGAAAGATAAAAAGAGCGCCTTGCAGTGCTAAAGTCGGGAAAGCACACTATTGATTTGAAAAATACGATCAATTGTGGTGGGATCCCTCGCACTGAAGGTGGACCTCTTCAAGATGAAACTAAATAGTTTTCTTCAAGGATTACCAGACCAACCGGGCTGTGGTGGATATGTGGGCCGCTCCAAGCAACAGCCTATTGGACCAAGCTCTCACAAGTCGAGCCTAGCCTCAGGCCGGGTTTGGGGAGTAGAAGAACTCCCAGAACCCCATCAAGCAGGTACCAAGGGCTCCGGGGGGGAGGGGGCTTGGGGAGTAGAAAAACTCCCAGAACCCCATCAAGCAGGTAAGCAGGGTCTCAAAATCCACCCTATCATTTTCCTGACTGATACTCATCTTGTACGCGACAGTGAAAACCCAATTACAGAGATCACAAAAGGTCTCAGTGAATGGCCGACATTGGCTTTTACCATTTCTCTCCAGAACTTTTAATGTTATAATAATAACTAGTAACAAAGTTCATGCGCTGCAATTACTGTCAAAGACATGTTTTTCATACAGGGGAGGTATTTTTTTCATACAGTGGAGGTAATTTATTTTGTTAATATCGGATATTACAGGGTAATGCTTTATTAATTGATATATTTCCTGGCATTAAGAAGTATATACGTTCATCGATCGGCAAGCTTGTATAGTTAAGCGCTACTTTCACCAGAAAACTTATTTTAGTTTTTTTTTATGTAAATGTACGTCGACTTGATCAAAAGAAATAGTATGAGTTACCAATAAAGTATAGTTTTCTTTGAAATAGCTGTAGCCATAACCAAAGAGAATATAAAATTGTCGAGGGCAAGTTATAAGAGTACTTTAATATATTTTTTTGTGTATAATGTGCGCGTCGTTCGGTCGGTCAGGCTATAACAAGTAGCCAAATGGGTGACCATATTGACGCAGCCTTGCCCATGATTAGGAAGACCATACCTTGCGGTTACCTCGACCAGGCCTCCTGGTTGCTGGACTAGTCAACCAGGCTGTTGGGTGCGGCTGCTCGCAGCCTGGTTGATCAGCTATCCTTTGGAGGTGTTTATCAAGTTCTCTTATGAACCATGAAAAATCATTGGTTTTCTGTCCCATAGCTCCTACAAAGGAGGTCGGAGGCGTCAGATCCATAGATACGCACATGGGGTAACTACCCAACTACTTGGGGTGGACGGTAGAGTGACTTGTCTCGTTTCCTGCAGGTCAGCGTTCAATCCCCGACCGTCCAAGTGGTTGGGCACCATTCCTTTCCCTCCGTCCCATCCCAAATCCTTATCCTGATCCCTTCCCAGTGCTATATAGTCGAAATGGCTTGGCACTTTCCCTTAATAATTCCATTCCCTTGTCAATTGTCAGACCAGACCTGGAGAATGTGGCTCCAACGTGGAGTCCACATCTAGTCAAACAGAAGACGAAACTAGAGAATGTTTAGAGGTATGACACCAAACTTGCCACAGAGCTGAGATGTATAAGTTAAGAGGAAAGGCTACAGGAATTAACACGCGTTACTGGAAGACATATAAGAGCTAGAAGAGTATATTACTTCCATATACAAAATATTCAGAGGAATTGATATGGATAGATAATGACATACTACTCGGCACAGGTGATACACGCACAAGGGGGACACAGGTGGAAACTGATTCCACAAATGAGGCAAAGAAACATTAGAAAGAATTTGTTAATTGTCGGATTAGCCTCACACCAGATGGTCCGGGAGTTTGCATGGCGTCAGCATAGGCAGGACCTGTGTCATCATTTATGTCTGGAGCGTGCCGCAAGTGTTGAGATACTGTTGCTGTTTGAGGCCAATCTTCCGGGTCCCAGCGCAATAGGGCCCAAATTGCCACCTCGTGGAACTGTAGCAATGTTAGCTTTTTTTGATCAGTTGTGTTGTATTTGTACAAAACAAAGGCATTATGCAATGCCATTTGCAGGAAATAAAACGTTATCTTTTTGGTCCACTTGTGAGTTTTCCTGGTAAAATGGTAATACCATTTGATCGAAGTGGTCCACACCTTTCATGAATTTATTGTACCATGCAGCCTAGTGGTAGAAAGAGAGCCTCATGTCGCGCAGTTTGAAACAAACCCAAAGTAAATCGGATTAAAATTGAATTTTATACAAATATTTTTTTGAGGACATCATTTTATGTCCACTGTGCGGAAGCGGGTAGACGAAACAGGACACACGGTTATGTCCTGATCATACTAAAGTGTTATTATTAACATCTTTATTGGCGGAAGTAATATATAATTTTGCTTAATCCAAGTAATTCTGGTAAGTATTATTACTCGTATGCTGGTGGTGCTCATATTCACTGCCACACAGGACAGATAATCACAGTATCAAAAGATGATACTGGAGATCTGTGGAGGCGCAACTGCACCCTGCGTGACGGGAGATGTCTCCCGGACCAAATGGTGACCAAATGGTGTGTGTGTGTGTTAGAGAGGCATATATGTAATAGACATAATAGAGGAAAAATAGATTGATTAGAAAGGCGGGGTCCAAGAGCTAATAGCTCGTTTCTGCAGACACAAATAGTAAATACAAATAGTAAATACACACTGTAAGGAGATTTTTGTGGCGGACTGAGGGAACAGTCAGAGTTGTTTAGAATGGATCTCAATTTAATTTGAATAGTGCTGAGGGACCAATATTTTTCTGAATTACCTTTGATTCCAAATTCAGCAAGTTGCTCTAATATTATTTTACCGTTGCCTACGTCGAAAGCTGACTTTAGGTCAATAAAGGCTGTCTGTGTCCCATCCTGCGAGTGTACAAATTACTCAGAAGAGTAATTTGTACTACACTTAAGCATTAACTTATACAGGTTAGGAGTCAATTTATCTTTGACTTGAAACATGACACGATTGAGAAAGTCTTTCCTAGACTTTACACATGCAATATAATAATTAAGTGGATAAGATGCCAGTGAAATGGGTCTGAATTTTTAGTTAGATTTAGGATTAGTTCTATGATTTTGTGTCCATATCTTTGGCAAGATACCTTGTGACAGGCTTTTGATATTCAAGCATAGGGAGGCTCGGGACATCATTCAGTAAACTTAAGGTTTCGTAGTAAATAAATGGAATGCATTAGGCAGTGATGTGGTGGAGGCTGACTCCATACACAGTTTCAAATGTAGATATGATAAGAGCCCACCCGCCAAACACACACCGAAACTACGACGTTGGTACAACGTTCGAACAAGTTTTAACACTTCCTAACCAGTTATAACAACCAATATAGCAAGTTGTAACAAGCGGAAAACAGAGACAGTTTCGGTTTGTGTTTTCAGGGCAGTATTCTCAGGAACCTGTACACAAGTTTGACTGATAGTTGAAATCTGGAAGTCAATGTTTAATAAACATAAGTTCCAGCACCTGCGGCCCAGCTTCGGTAGAGCGACGGTCTCGCTTCATGCGGGTCAGCGTTCAATCCCCGACCGTCTACAAGTGGTTGGGCACCATTCCTTCCCCCCCCCCCGTGTCCATCCCAAATCCTTATCCTGACCAAATCCTATATAGTCGTCATAGTTTGGCGCTTTCCCCTGATATTTGCTCCCTTCCTTCCAGCACCTGCGATATTGCAAGAACCAAAGTATCAAAACGGAAACCACATATAAAATACAGACAAATCACACTATAGAGCGAAAAAGTAACATATAAAAGGTTTGGGAGTAATCGTGTCAGACGTCTTTACTCTCAACACAATATAGTGACTCACAACCCGGAAGACAAATGACAGACTGGATAACTAGAACCTTTAAAACATGAGATACTAGACCAATGATAGTTTTTAATAAACTACAGTAGTGCTCTCTAGGGTGAAGCCTTGTTACACACTAACAGCCATATTCAAATAATTTATATAAATAATGTATATAAATTATTGGAACCGCTTAAAATGTTAAATCTGTATTCTCTAGAGTGCAGGCGAGTTACACTTGAAAATATTAGAGGGACCAGATCTGTGCACAGAAATAACGCCATATGAGACAAGTAAGCATGGCAGGAAGTGCAAAATAGCCTCGTTCAATAGCAGAGGTGCAAGCTGAGAGAGAACTCTCAACATCAAAGGCCAAACACTGATGACCAAACCACACATTAGAAAATGGAGAAACGACAATGTTTCAGTTCGTTTTGGATCATTATCAAGTTGTGTAATACAAAGGAAAGGAGGGGAAAATACTGGAGGGCCAGGTCCCAAATCTAC